GGTATGTATTTATAACAAAATAATCATCGTGCCTCCGATCAAACTGTTTATAATTACTCGTCTCCATCCAAAGGTTGTTTGGAAGAGATCGCTTTTAGCGATAAGGTCGTCCATTGTTTTCTCACTGTGATAGTTTCTTGTAATTGTATGTATCTACAATGAGTTTACTATTGTAGGGGATTGTATTATTATATATATATATATATATATTATTGTATCTTTTGGAGGGAATAATAAAGAATATCTACCTAATATCTACTTGATCATGTGGTCCTGTAATTCTGTCCTGGTGTGATAGATTAGGCTACTCCTTTCTTCCCCATAGGTGTCGTAAGAGACGACTAAAGGACTAAAGGAGCGAAGCACGGGTAGCAAGTCCCTCTTAAAACGTCTTTAAAGCCTGACTGTGGTTGCCAATCCGCCAAGCGTGGCAATTAATAGAAAAATACCCCCGAATGCTTATAATCAATAGTGGACAGTTAAAGGCTGATATGATGATAATGACTTCTGAATGGATTGGAATGAAATTTATTATACGCGTAGTTTGTATCCTAACTTAGTATATGGAATACTTTCTCGTCAATCATAGAATACGTTGCATATAAATCTACCACTAAAAACTTTGAGTCTACTTCATATTTTGCTTTTGGAATTTTTCAAATACTTACTTGCTATACAAATTCAAATTATCAGCAACAATTTAGTAAGTATATTATTGCATGATTTAAATAGAGTTTGAATTCGCTAATAGAATAATTTATTCTCAAGCGACTTCAAAAAGTAGGATTTTTTTTTTATTTGTTATAACCTCATCAGTTCTGAGCCGATTTGAAAAATCTTTTAGTATCTATCTGAAAAGCCATATTTACAGATTAGTTCCATAGAAATTTTATCAAATTTGCTTGAGTAGTTTAATTTTTAAATCAAAATAACTGGTTCTGTTACGATTTATGTCGTTTTGTGTAATCCACAATCTTTAATTATGAAATAATCAATCGTAAACATTTTTTGTAAGTAACGTTTGTTCCGTTGTGGAACAGGCTAAGGTCGGAGACCAACTGGAAACATTGAATATTATTAATTTTTTTTATAATTGATAGATCTCAATGTTGCCATACTCCATGCCATAGTTATAAATGGTCTTAATAAAAAAATAGTATATACTTACTGTTAGAGATGTAGAATGTTTTTACATACACTGTTTTTATCCTGGTTAATCAACGTATCCTGATTACGGACGAAGTTGTAATCAGGATACTTTTACAACTTCGTCCGTATTTATTTTTATTATGTATTAAATATTCCCATTATCACCTAATATATAGGTACAATTGAAAGCGTGATCCCATCTGGGATTTAAAACTGTAGTTTGAACTCAAAATTACGATCGGACGAAGTTATTTATTTAGCAAAGTTTCCAAGTTGATTTACGCGACCCCACGTCCACGTTGAGTTACGATTGGTCCCACTTGATAAAGTTTTGCACGTAAAAAGTACAGAATACGGTCTGTTTAATTATACGAGGTTGATTTATCGTGTGTAAGTTTTGTCGCTGCGATGCAAGGGCGACAATTTACCAAGTAAACGTTGTATTATGACAGTTACGCCAAAGATTATAATTTATTATCGGAGACAAGGATCTATATACGAGGTTTGTCCGGAAAGTACGTATAAAAGTTTTTTAAAAATTTTATTTTACAATTATTCAGGTAAATCAATTTTATCCCCTTCAAAGTACTCCCCCTGTGACATAATGCACTTGTGCCAACGCCGTTTCCACTGTGAGAAGGCTCCTTGAAAGTCCTCTGGTTGTAGGTTTCTCAGCTGCCCCGTCGTAGCTTTTTTTATCTCATTTATGTCCCCCAAATGCCGCCCCCGAAGTACCAATTTGGTTTTTGGGAACAAGAAGAAGTCACACGGGGCCAAATCCGGCGAATAGGGGGGGTGTTCGGTCACCGTAATGGAATTTTTACTCAAAAACTCACGGACAACAAGAGAGGTGTGGGCAGGGGCATTGTCGTGGTGAAGAATCCAACGCCCCTCTCGCGCCAATTCTGGACGAACTCGTGCCACACGAGCTTTGAGGCGTCTGAGCACATCGACGTAGAATTTTCCATCAACTGTCTGGCCTGGAGGGACGAATTCTTGATGGACAATCCCCCGAACATCGAAAAAAACAATCAACATTGTCTTGACATTTGAGCGGGATTTTCTTGATTTTTTTGTTCGTGGTTCCCCGGATGTCTTCCACTCTTTGCTTTCACGGCCATTCTTGCCGAGTTTCGAGAGAAACTTGATTACGACGCGCTGCTCTTCAACGGAAGCGGGCTCCATGCCGACGGGGTTTCGTTAAGAGGTAACTTCACAGATGGCGTGACAAGCCAGTTCGCACCGCACGGCGGTCAGACCAGAACTGAAGCATTGTTAGGGACATAAGGAAGGGGTCCTGCGCTTACCTGGCCTCCCCACTCCTCTTTCTCGCATTCCAGAACACTTTTATACGAACTTTCCGGACAGACCTCGTACATATGTAATACAAATTTTGTTAGTTCATATTTAGATTTATAGGTTAGACTATTGTTAAACAAAAGGTTATTTTTTATGCAACTTAGAATAGCAAACAAGCTGACGACCCTCCTGATGGAAAGCGGTAACCTTGCCTATAGACATGAGTAGTACCGTGGACATGGAGTATACTGTTTCGCCCATGATACCCCCTATGCGTTGCCATTCCTGAGGACTCAGGTGTTATTCCTCTGTATCCTGTAAATTCACTGCCATATCCTACTCTTCAAACCGAAACATAGCTATGCAAACACAACTGCTTCACGGTAGAAACACGAATGCGATAGAGGCTTCTAAGCAAACGACTTTTGTACAAAGTCTCCCTTTGGTAAAAAATTAAAGATAATTGTTGTATTTGTATTTTTGTGTGTGGCAACATTATTCTATTTGCCGCGTTTTTGCTGCTTCTGATTTTGTACCTAAATTTTATTGCATGTATAAACTGTCAACGTTTTGAAAATAACTTATCACAAAATTTGGCACTGAAACGAGTACACTACTATGAATAGTATCTTTGTACATCATAAAGATTGACTAGTAGAGAATTTCTATATTCCTACTTCGTTTGGTACCATATTTTATTGGTCAATACAGTATAAATAAATACGTCTTGTTTTCGCTAAATGAAAAAAGAAAAAAGGCAATTATATGAGTAGCGGTTATTATTTAATTACTAGCTTTATCCTACGGCTTTGCCCGCGTGAATTGGTATATAAAATATTCTATGTTCTAAGTTCAGATATGACCTACCCATGTACCAAACTTCATTCAAATTCCTACAGTAAATTTTGCATAACATCCATCCATATTTCTATCTATCTTTAGTAACTTTTATTTATACAGTTAAAAAGATTTTTTCTATATTAGTCTTTGTTTTTAGACATATAATAAAGTTGTTACTAGGCGGTATCTGTATATAGGAAATATTTAACAGATAAAATAATGTAAGGTATCTCAACGAGAACAGGATTTAGAAATTTTTGTCTATAAGTTTGTTTAAACATATCAAAACTGTTACTTTAAGTTGGATGCAGTTTTCACAAGCGTATTTTGAAATGTCTAACTTAATGAAATGTGGTATATGTTTTAATTTAATACATCAAAATGATGATTTTAATTTTTTTTTTTTTTACGCGACAATTTAGAGTTTATTTATTTATAAAATCGATACGTACGAAGCAACAGGCAACAGCAATGATTATGCTAAAATGTAACCTGGACAAGATGCTTAATTAGCAGCACCCTTATAAAATTTATGTAAATTTCCGTGTAAAATATTTTATATACTTGTTGAATATATTCAAATTTATATACTCTTGGCTAGACTTACATACTAACATTTATATTTATTATCATCATTTTTCATCCATCAATCGTTAACTGTCCACTGCGAGGGGGAAAGGGATTGTTAGTAATGGAGACTGAGAATCACATTGCTAGAAATATATCCAACCAGGTCAACCTCCTCGCGGTTCCCCCTGGAAACTATCATGGTTAATTCCTGATGAATTCATCATGATGGGCTAACTGGCCTGTTTTCATTTTCATCTATCACCCTTCACTGGTGCTCCGTCAGCGTATCCCGTTAGCGCATCAAAAAAAAAAAAAAACTGTCCACTGCTTGGGGGAAAGGGATTATTAGTAATAGGATATAGCTTTCCCATTGCTAGAAATACACCCTGTCAGGTCAATCTCCTCGCTAATCTTCTTGGAAACCATCATGTTTAGTAATTCTGGGTGAATTAATTACAATGGGCTGACCTGTTTTTTAATTCTCATTAATCATCTCTCCCTGGTGCCCCACCAGTGTATATACCGTTAACGCAGACGGGGTTGTCATTCCATTATATCCATTAAAAAATCTGTCCACTATCGAACATAGGCCTGCCCCAGTAGTTGCCACGCTTTTCAAGAGTGTCGGCATTAATTTATTTGTTTACTTTTTAATGCACCAGTTAAAGAATAATAAAATAATACACAATAAATAATATACAAACTATATTCTATACGGATCGATTTTGATGATTCTTATTTCATTCGAAAGGATTTATTTCTATATTAATTCCGTACTAATTTTGTTAAAAGTACAATAGTTTCTTTTTTGGATTAATAATTTAAAAATCTACATATATTTATAAACATATTAGCCGTTAATTGTCCACTGCTGAACGTAGGCCTCCTTGTATTGACAAGTTTTGCCAGTAGTTGCTATGCTTGGCAAGCAGGTTGACAACTGCAGTTAAAGCTTGGAGATCTTTTAAGAGGGTCCCTGCTGCTCATTTTTCGACTATTAAGCTCCCTTAGTCGCTTCTTACGACACCTATGGGAAAGGAAGCGGTGGCCTATTCTATGGCGGGATCGCACGACAATATTTATGTTAGGGTTAAATTAAAAACATATAAATTTAAATAAATTACAATATCATACTTCAGACATTTATTACCATTTTGACATTAATCGCTATAAGATCTATAACAAAACCTAAATCTATGTACTGGAATTTCCATTCGATAGAAAGTATGTATTTAATTGGTAAATTGTTCATGTATAACATGAAATAAGTATTAAAGTTTTATTATCAGTAAAGGTGTATTCACACTTAACATTTTTCTATGCAACTTAGAATGGCAAACAAGCTGACGACCCACTTGATGGAAAGTGGTAACCGTCGCCTATAGATATGAGCAGTACCAAGGACATAATAGAGTATACTCTTTCACTCATGATACTCCTCATGTATTGCCATTCCTGAAGACCCAGCTGTTATGCTTCTGTACCCTGTAAATTCACTGCCATATTTCACCCTTCAAACCGAAACACAGCCATGCAAACACAACTGCTTCACGGTTGAAACACAAATGAGACAGAGGTACTTTTGTATAAAATTTGGGTAGCTCTTGGCATTTTAACAGCTAAAACATTTGTCATAAAAATTGGTATACTTGTAGTGTTTAGATGGAAGTAAATAGACTACCTTTTATCCTGGTCAATTAATATATCCTGGCCACGTAGGTAAATATTAAAATAAAAATTAAACCATTGCATGCTTTAAAACACTGCAGTCCTTGGTTCAAAAATGGTTTTAAAACATATATTGCATAACAAACGCATAAATGTCTAATCATCCAAATAACTTTACTCATTTTCACATTTACACCCCTTATTCTTAGAAAATAAAACCTTTTACAATCTTATTTTGATTATTATACTGTTTTGTCACTTTCATTCAAACTGAAAAAATTGCGTAAAAGAAAGAGATAAAATAGGTTTATGACAAGTTTGATGTTTTTATGAATATTTTTTTATAAATATTGCAGTTTAGAATTAAGCTGTTATATTTATAATACTATATACATTAGATGACTGAAAATCATCACCAGTAGCAGTGTAGTAGTGATGGATAATATATAGTAATATCTATATATTGGCTTAATAACATCGGTTATCCAATATTATATCGAAATGAGAATCCGTTCGAAATGAATATACATATATGTAGATATCCGATTGGTACGGGTAATATGGAAATGGGTGATAATCTTTTATATAGTAATATAGTTGTATAGTCATATTTAAATAACTAGAGTAAACAAAATATATAGAAATCGAAGCGATACATCCATATGGGTTATATCGATTAATCATGCATATAGTGTATTGTAAATACAACTTTACTTTGTTATAGTGACAACGATAGAATAATTTGGCAGTTTTTATTTTTACAATGAACATTTAGCAAAATTATCTTACGACTATATTTGAAATGTCAGTCTTTTAATTAAGATAACTAAAAATAGACGACTCGTAAGATTTCCTAAAACAGGAATAAAATCTCTAATTAACTCCTTCCATTAAAGAAAACTGTATATATTTTTAAATATAGACTTACTGATATGCTTTTAACTGTAGAATTAACAATTTAATGTAAACATTATAAAACTTTATACATTTTTTTTTTATTTTATACAATTTTGTTGTTATCTGTGATGCGGAGTCCGGCAATGCCCTGTAACAAATGTATTTGTATTAAATGCGGAAAATTATAAATTTATAAATTGAAATCAACATTGCGACCAAACTTAATGTAAAAACTTAAAAAATGAAATCAAACAGGTTTGTATAACAAGGTACAGAAAAAAATTACATATTTATTTCATATTTTATAACTAGCCCTGATGAGATAATCGGAGGCATTTGTCGACTATTACTGTGTAGTGACTATAATACCTCGGACATACCAAGATTTAACTGAGCATAGTGAATGTTACAGGGCATAGGGCGAGCCTACCATCACCTCATGGTATAGTGAGGACACCTCAGTTTAGGAAAACCTTTGGTTTTAAAAAACCTACATTTTTTATTAAATTTTATGACTAAGACATTCACTAAGTAGATATTTCCCAGAAACTACGAAGATTTCGGGAAATATTTACTTAGTCAATTTTAATAATAGCCCCCTAGACAAGTGGCAAATTAATCAATCGATCGAATCAATAATTAGTTAGAATAAAACAGCGACGTCTAGTTACTTGTTCTTTCTTATGCGAATGTTAAAGTAGTTCGTCAAGAAACTATTTGGATATGAAAGACTAGATGGCGCTAGAATCAAAACTTGTGGTTTTCATTGATTATTTTGTATTTAAAAAACATCTGGGACAAAATTTTTAAATTGGCGAGTAGTTTTTTTTTATTTTTTACTGATATAGTAATAAATCATTATAGGATTTGTCTTTATTCTCTTATATTGTACAATTTTGTATAAAAAGACACACACATACTAACAAGAAACATTGTGATTATCTTTAATTACATAATAATTAACAAAAATCACAAGTGTCAATTCCAGCATCATCTAGTAATTCTTACCTAATTTTGTTAAATGACCAAACACCTTAACCGAAACGATTCTATCGATAGATTCAATTGCTACTTGTTTAGATTTTGATCAAAAGAGATAAAACCACGTAAACAATAATTAGATATGTCTAATTAAGAAACAATTTTGTACTGAAGACTAAGTTACACTTTTTGCTTACTTTGGTCTACTAATCTGTAACAAGACGTCCCTATTAACCTTCCAAATGATTATTATCTTATCTTGCCAACTGGTTTAATTAAACCCGACAGTCCAATTAAATTTCCGTAGAGATAGCGGAAAACTACAAAATAATTTAGTGGCAACTAAATAAATTCGTTTAGTTGGCACTGGAATGTTATAAACGTTAAGTTAATGTTACACCATTAATTAATCGTCATTTAGAAAGAGATCAAGTGTTTCTATTTCAGTTGTTAAGAATTTATATTGATTCCTCTTTTCTTTTAAACAGTATTAATTTCAAATGTCCCAGATTAAAGTCACTTAATAAATTATTACTATTTAGTGTATCTTTTTTGAAGACAAAATATATACATACAATATTTAAACACATTTGAATTTCGTATTTTCACCAACTATCTTAAGTTATTCTACAATATTGATATATTTCAAGACTTTAGTTGTGACAAAATCAATTTTGGTATAAAAACTCAACTAGTGAACCGATTTTGATAAAATTTCTATAAGACTAATTTGTAAGACGTTAAGAGGTAACAAACAAATGTATTTTCACATTATAATATTAGTAAAAATTTATATTCAATATCAATTAATTGTATGTAAAATTTCTTATTTAAATAATATTATAAATATCTATTTAAAGCTTTCTTTATTATTTTGAAAGGCTAATAAGTATTATTGAATGTTATTTACCCGTAAATATAGAAATAAACATATAGGTCATCTGATAAAAAACAGTTACCCTTATCTACGAATAAAATTTCCGATATCTCTCCAGTGATGCCAAACACCGATAACAAATTAAAAACAATTCTAATGTTAAGCGAAATATTGCTATACTTTTATTCTTTTTTTCTTCTCTTTTATACTATGATTTTTATCAAGGTAGTAAACAAACATACAGCCCGTCTGAAGGTAAACGGTTACTGTAACCTAGGGCGCCTGCAACACTACACTGTCACGTGCGCGTTGCCGACCCTAAACAAACCTTAATACCTCCACGTGGTCCCTGGAAACCATCGTGAACCTTTATGAAGAACTTCATCCTCATATCATCCTTCAGTCTGATAGCGCGGGTGGGAAAATCATCCATTAAAAAAAAAACTTTAATATTTATGAAGAACCTCATACTGTAGTCTGTAGGGAAAACCTCGGCAGAGAGCTCATTCTACAGCTTGAGCGTTCGCGGAAGAAAATTCCTTTGAAACCGCACTGTACGTGATCACTTAGGTAGGGGTCACTTAGGTGTGAGGATGAATTCTCTGTCAAAGGTAAGCGGTGCGATGATAAAAGGTAGCTGTGGGCATCATTTTAAACAATTCATTAGTAATCTTATTGCGTGTTACGTTCATCGTAATGGTGACAGTTGACAAATACCTCTGATTACCCCATTAGGGATTATAGTCGTGAAGCATAATTATTTGAATAAATTACGACTTACTCCGCGGCATCGCTGAAACTGTTGCTTTGGACGTGCTGTCACTGTCGTCGGACTCGGAACGGTTCTGGAAACTGGTCTCTGTTGACAATGACATAGAGATTATTTTCCTTTAAAAATATATATGTATAAAACCAAATTTATTACCTACTTCGTCGGCGTGAACGGGATATTTTTACTGACCGTGATAAAAATACGTAAAGATAGTTCATATATACCAAATTTAATAGAGATCAGTAGAGCCCTTAAGGATTAAAAATATTTAAGAACTTAGTCAGAGTTTTGTAAACACTGTTTAAGTTGTTAAATATTAAAACAGTGTTTTAAATATATTTTTTGTAGTAAATCCGTGTTCCAGTGGGTGTCGTAAGAGGCGACTAAGGAAACTTAATGGCAGAGGGCTGAGCAGCAGCGTCCGCTTAAAATACCTCTAAAAGCCTAACTACGGTCACCAACCCGCCTGCAAAGCATGGTAACTATTGGCAAAACTCCTCTTACGAAGAAGGCTTATGTTTAGAAGTGGAAAGTTAACGGCTGAAATTATGAACGTGTTATATTATTTACCTATATGTTACTCATTCCAATTTAATTACTATTAAATATTCAGCTATCTCAATAAGCTAAACATTGTGATAAGAAAGATTATGCGACTTACAGTTTAAGATAAATTCTTTCTAAGTAATGCTCAATCAATTAATCGTACTTAATCTATTTGCAAGAGAGACCAGATTAAGCGCCAAATCCTTAGATTCCTTCACCAACTAAAACGGAAGAAAGATTCATTAATTTTATTAAATTAGACCAAGATTGATGGTGGAGGGAAGCGAGAATGAAACACTACGCAACACTACCTTTGGTGGAAGTTAGTGTAACTATGTCCTAATAATGTTAAGCAAATAGCGTTATTAATCACTAGTTGTGTCATGCGGCTTTGCTCGTATCAATTGGCACAAAAGCTTTCAATTTAGCATATGCCTTTTCAGCATGATTGATTTATAACGGTCCAAACATATTTAAACTTACATATTTACATTTGAAAATGAAATCCTAAAAACAAAAAAAATTAAAAAAGATATAAGATTCTGCCCATAGCAGTACTACTAAAAAGCCAATGTTAATCTCTGTATGCATGTTAAGATAATACGAATCCTGTTTCCTACAGGACAGGCTCAGCCTAGTGTAGGAATCAATGATAAATTCTGTGCTTATTCAAACATATTTTGTTAAATAAATATATCTGTATCTATTTTATCTATCTATTTATGTTATAGAATACACTAGTGGTAAATTTTATAAATCAACAATTTTACAAAAAAGTAAATATTTTTGAATCGTTCATACTAGTTAAAAGTTTATCTTGTCGCGTTAATATCATCATCATTGCCATATCAGCCGTTACCTGTCCACTGATAAATATAAATGTTGCTTGTTGGTATATATACAAGGTCCATTTTTCTGTTTATTATTATTAACATTATTGAGAACATACTCGTATTTAAAATAAGAATATAAATACCACAGCGTTATTAAGCAGCCTTTTAAATAGTCTAAGTATATAAAAGTACATAAATAAAGAAAATAGTACATTCTAACGATTTTTTTCTATGTGGAAAGGTGACAAACGACCAGTAAGTGATTATTGCATTATTATTAATTGTAAGTTACCGTTACCTGTCCACTGCTGAATATAGCCTGAGCATAGAACATAGCATGAGGGGGGGGGTTGCTAGTAGTTTTTATGCTTGGCAGACGGATTGGCAACTGCAGTTAGACGTTGGTGATGCTTCATCCTTCGGCCATTAAATTCTCTTAGTAGTAGCCTATTATGACACTCACGTGAAAGGAAGGTATGGCCCATTCTAATTCGGGACCATATGGGAAGAAAATATAAAAATATAAAGCATGGCGTCTACTGGCAAAATCTCCCTTGTGGGGGAGATCGATGTTCAATGGTGGACAATTAATGGCTAATATAATAATATTTTTATAACATAATGTAAAATTACATTACAAGTTACAATTACTTTATACATCCGTAACTACGTCTGATATGATTGCGAATAAATAGAAATACCATTAATAAAATATAAAATATTTCAGCGTTTTGGCATAGGATAAAGTTTGATTAATATCTTCTGAAAGTAATCTAAATCTAAAAGTAATCTTCAATTAAAAAAGATAAGCCATAAAACTTGAGGAGTTGTATTAATTATTTCCAAGTACATATATATATTTATTATATTGAATTTTATATAACAACACCGGCGAATAGAAGTTTTTTTATGGATGATAATGAAATAGTAACCCCACCAGCGCTGTCGGTATACATCGGCGGGGCACTAGTGAAGGATGATAGGTAAGGATGAAGCAGGTCAGTTGGCCCATCGTGACGAATTCAATAAGAATTGTTCACGATGGTTTCCAGGGGGAACCACGTGGAGGTCGACCTGATAGGGCATATTGCTAGCAATGGTGTTGTCAAACTCCATTGCTAACAATCCCTTTCACCCTGGCAAATAGAATTTACTCAGGAGTCACTAAATGAAGTCAACGACGATGCAGAATTATAAATATCAAATATATTATAACAGGTGACGAAACATGGGTTTACGGATATGATGTCGAAACTAAGGCTCAATACAAATTCTTTGATCTATTTCGAAAAAAAAAAAGAAAATCGCCGAGTATAAAAACATGTCTAACCTTAGCGATTGTTAGATACAGACAAAATAAACAATGAATACAACTGAATTTTTTATCATACTTCGGGGGCATATATACCAATATAATAAAAAAAAATCGGGCTCTACAAACCCATGAAATTTAAAATTTCCTGTTATTTTTTAATATACCTTTTATTACACTTTATCAAGACTTAAGTTGATGATTTTTGTAAACTAAAATATACTTGCCAGTACATGGGAATAATGTAAATAGATAGATAGATAGTTGCCCAATAAATAATAGTCCAATGGTTGACTGGTAGACAATTTCGTCCGGAGTTAAGTCCGCCGTTAGATAATGTGTATAGAAATTACTGTGTTAATGCACAGTTTAAATAAATAAATAAAGAATAAATAATTTATTTACACTACTCACAGCATATGAACTTTTATCGTCACAAAATAATAGGAAAGCAAAATAATATTAAGACGTTTTTAAATTTCCGTGCACGTTCATGATATTGTCGTGGTAAATATTCGAATAATATCGTAACCGTTCCTTATGGCAGTCTATGGGGGAGGCCTGTATTCGGAAATTGATAATAAATTTGTGAACTTATATTTTTTTTTATACAACTTAGAATGGCAAACAAGCTGACGGCCCACCTGATGGAAAGTGGTAACCGTCGCCTATAGACATAGCACAGATAACACATTATCATAATTATATTTCCTTTATTTTAAAATAGTATAAATCAAATAAGTATTTTATGCTATGATTGGCAGGCGGGTTAGCAACCGCAGTTAAGTTTTAGAAGATGTTTTAGTAGGGACGCTGCTGCCTGTTCCTCTACCATTAAGTTCCTTTAATCGCCTTTTACGACCCCCACAGGAATGGTAGGGGTGGCTTATTCTATGCCGGGACCATACAGACTTAAATGTTTACTTATTATATATACATACTAGCTTTTATCCGTAACTTCGACCGCTGGAATAAGATATGTTTGCTGACCAAGATAAAAAGTCTAAGCCTATAGCCTTCTCTATTCCACATAGTACATATATACCCAATTTCATAGAGATTAGTTAAGATGTTAAGGCGCTTTAAGATAAAATATAAACAAACACACTTTCACATTTATAATGTTATTAAAGATATGTCATAATGTATATATATACACATGTTACTTTATAATTTCCTAAATGAGAAATTGTAATTTGTAAGTGGAATTGATATATTTGTAACGATGTTAATTAAGCTGCTAATTTAATCCGTTGTCATAAACTTAATCAAAATTTATTACAGATTACATCAACACAAACAATCAGAACAAGAGAATAATAAAATTTAAAGTAATTACTTTAAAATGTTATTAAAAAGTTATTATTATAACAAGAGAGAAAATTACAATGCTCTTGAACAAAACTTTCAGTTTATAATCTAGGATTTTGTTTCACAAAAAGACTATACTTAAATATTAAAGTTTATTAGAAATTTCTAGATAATCAATTGAGCAAGCAGTTTTTTTTTAATTCCTTCAGTTTTGTGAAACAAAAAACGTATAAACTTATTAGCTGTTAACTGTCCACTGCTGAATATAGGGCTCCTCGATAAGAAAGGTTTTGCTAGTAGTTGCCACGTTTGGCAAGCGGAATGGTAACCGCAGTTAATATTTGATGATGTTTTAAGAGAAACGCTGCAGTCCATCTCTCAATCATTAGGTTGTCTTAGTCACCTCTTACGACAGCCACGAGAAAGAAAGGGTTAGCTCATTCTATGCCGGGACCACACACGGGCGAAAAACAAATATTAACAGTAAATTAAAGGATTTAATGATTATTATAAGTCATTATTGTATACAGTAACATTTAATATTATTTGTTGCATTAACTTAATCTAAAATATTCTAATAATATTAAGGACGATGTAAAATATGACTTAATATTGTTTCATAGAAGATTTATTAACACAAATTTAATTTGTAAGACCTTACAATGAAAACAAATTGCTGATACGACGCAGTAAAATTCTAATCGAAATATTAAATTACAAATAGCTACATTTAGACGAGGAAACGTTAATTAAAAACATGATCCAAATACAAAACTAATTAAAAGGACAGGGATATATTTATGGAAGATTAATTTATGGTAGATGTTTTGTTTGAAGGTATATTACGATACTCGAAATTCACGGACAAAATTTCACCTCAATAAGTATTGAGGTATTGTGGCAGAAATAAATTTAATTGAAATACATTTCGTTGGAATTTCTTAAAACGCAACAACATCTGTATTAGTTTGTTAAATTGAAGTATAATTAAATAATTTTACATAATACAATCCATTAATTAATATTTGGTTCCCCAAATAATCAAAGTGTCTCATAAAAAAAAAAAACGAATTCAATTGTGACTAATTGTGATTTTGATTTGAAAACTAAACTTTTTGATAAAATCTCTATAAGACCAATCTGTACTTATATCGTTTCAGATAAAAAAAATACCAAATCGGATTAGAACCGACGGAATTATGAGGTAACAATCTTTAATCAATTGAGAACCTCATTCTTTTTGAAGTCGGTTGAAAAATAAACACCAACTTCATTCATGACTAAACTACTAAAACGATTTTGATAAAATCTCTATGGAACCAATCTAAACGTATATTCGTTTAAAAATATTTTTCAAACCGATTTGTGAATGATGGAGTTATGAGATAACAAACAAAATAAATACAATTGAATTGAAAAAATGCTTCTTTCCAACCGCCTTCAGAAAAAGAAGTTATCTGCCTGCCTTCTTTCTGAAGTCGGTTGCAAAGCTCAAAGAGAGGGTGACTTCTTTACGTAGATATTGTTATTACTTTAATTTTTAATGTTAAAATTTCATAACTTATTCATAGTTATATTAGTACAGTGAGTCTTTTTTTTTTTCTTTATTTAGAGTCTGCTAAATAATTATATTAAAGAAGATTATATAAAATAACAATTCTGATAAAGAAAAAACTTATTTATTTTTCTTCATAGTTTCAATAGGTTCCGTATATATTTATTTAGTTATTATTGCACCACTTAAAGAAGTGGTAATATTTAGGTAATATATAATAATGACTATATATATATATATATATATATATATATATATATATATATATATATATATATATATATATATATATTTATACATTTATCGTATATACAATTATACATACAATAACGAGATAAGTAGGCACAAAAGAACAAAAATTAGAAAAACAAATCCAATTATTTTATATTATATTGGTTTACACAAAATTCGAACATCGCTTTGTTCAAGGTCTACTGTAAGTTTTACGAGATACGAGTATTTCCTGTTACTTACTATAAAAATGCGGAACAAAATGTCTAGTACGGCATTACCGAACATATTTGATATGGGGACCATCAAAAGGAGAGTTTATATGTTCTTAAAAGGCCAGCAATATATCGACGACTCTTCTAATATTGAATATATGATTGAGTATACTTTTATTTGTATTAACATCATCATCATCATCATCATATCAGCCGTAAACTGTCCACCGTTGAATATAGGCATCTCTCGTTAGAGTGTGATAGCCAAAAAAAGCTACAATCGGATCGACTTAGCTATGTCCATGCTGAATCGTACATGACCAAGTATTAATGAATGATTTTAACTATTAGTAGAAGCGTAAAGTAAATGGAATAATTCGAATTAATTGATCAGTGGAATAATTAGTACTTTTTTTATATATCACTGAGGTGCCAAACAAGCATACGGCCCACCTGATGGTAAGTGGTTACCGTAGCCTATGAACACCTGCAATACCAGAGATATTACGCGTGCATTGCCGACCCTGAAGAAACCCCCCTTTTGAAGAACCCCATGGTGTATATAATTCGCGACCTCCTCGGTTGAGAAACGATCATCATCATCATCATCATCATCATCATCTCAGCCATTACTCGTCCACTGCTGGACATGAGTCTCCCCCATAGACCGCCATAAAGAACAGTCCTGAGCCACTTGTATCTACTGAATCCCGGCAATGCATTTTAGGTCGTCACTCCATCTAGTCGTTTTACACTGCGTTTGCCTGTACCGGGTCGCTACTTAAGAACCTTTCTTTCCCCATCGGTTGTTGGCTCTTTGAGCTATGTGACCAGCCCATTGCCATTTCAGCTTGCTTATCCGTAAGAAACGATTATCTATACTAATACTAAATAGGAAAGATTTGAATGTATGTTTGTAATGGATAAACTCAAAAACTACTCAACCGACTTTATAAATTCTTTCACCTATAGAAAGATATATTATCTGCGAGTAACATACGTTATATATTATAGAGAAAGATATTAGAGAATAGAGTAAGCAAAATAGGCTCATCGTGAATCATTCGGACTTTGGATGTACTTGTAAACTTGTCGAGTTTTCTAGAATAGCAATAAATTATTTAGAAAGTGTCCAATAAATAAAATTTATTGTTTTTTATATATTGTGATTCTTAAAGAAACGAATTGGGAAACGAGATAGTAAGGTCTTAGTTGCTAAATATATTAAATAAATAAATAATTTACGAAAGTTCTATCTACCCGTGGGAAACTGGGGCGGATCCATAGTATATTAAAAAGTATAAAGTACATACAACACACCCGCAATATCTCTGGTGTTGTGGGTGATCATGGGCGACGGTAGTCACTTACCATCAGGTGAGCCGCATGCTCGTTTGTCTCCTGTGTTATAAAAAAAAAACATACCTGTGTCAAACCTTGGTCTACTTGGTAGACGGCTCGGCAGATCTTGGTTGTCGACGTGGTCAAACGTGCGGAAGCCAAGAGCGAACTCCGCATATGGACTTATCTCGAACATTTCTGTTGAAGAAAATAACAAATTATTTTGGAGAAATGAATAAAACCAATTACAACGTCGCATTAGGTCCCGGCATAGAATAGGCCACACCTTACTTTCCTGTGGGTGCCGTAAAAGTAGTCAATGGTCGAGAGATGGGCAGTAGAGTCCCTGATGTCCAATACAACCCAAAACACTCTAATTCGAGTTAAGTCAGAAAAGTTTGATTCGTAAATTGGCCCGATTGGAAACTAAATCCGGGCCCTCATAACGCAAAACAATCTTACTAATATTAATGTAAATTTAAAAATACATTTTATGTTTGTTACTTTATAGCGGTTTAATGGTTTAATCAATCACTATGAAATTTGGTATGCACATACTATATTCGTAGGATGGAAAAGGATATACGCTTATTTTTAATTCGGTCAGTAAACATTTCCCGGTCATGCGAACGAAATTGAAGGTAAAAGATAGTATCACATAAAAGAATACATAAGCATACATAGGATTGACCCAAATAGAGATAAATTCCAGTAAACTTATATTTCATTAAACTTTGCGAGTATTTCAAATAAGTTTAGGGTACTGTAGGGTACAGGTGGATACAAATGGTTGTTTAGGATTTTAAAGAAACTCTTAGGAACTTTAAAAAAACTCTAGGGAAAACCTCGAAAGGGAGCTCATTTCACAGCCTGATATACCTATATATATCAAAAAGCAATACAGGTAACCTTCACTTACCATTCTTACTACTTTTCCTAGCATGAACAGGTGATGTATAAATTCTAGGCGCGTGCGCATATCTTTCTTTATGTTCCGAATGTGAAGCGACGCTCTCATTTCTCGATTTCACGTCTTCGGCGATCGAGTGACGATACTGAGATGTATAATTTTGCCTATTTAAAAAAGAAAAAATAAAATTAGATAATCTAATTAATGAACTATATGTACAATTTATTGTCTTTTACAAATTAGAACACACTTGTACTACCTAGCCATTAAAATAAAACCTATTGTCTATAATTATTATAAAGCAATAATTCTTAGAATAAATTCCGCAAAAAGCTGTAAGCTATATTTATATACACTAAGCGAAAGTAAAAGAGTTTGACGGATTGAAAAATTCTATTTGCATTTGATAGCACAATTGATCTTGAGGAAAGTTATAAACTGCTCAACAATTGAATTTTATATAAGTTTTCTTCATTTGGTATTTTTATTACATTTTTATGCAACATTTTATTCTATTACATTTTGTTTATAGTAAATATTAGTTAATAAATTGTTAATATAATCTAATTATAATCTTATTTTCTTATTGGAATAATGTTAGAAAGTAATTCTGTGGAATTCAATTACGCACATTCTTAAATTCTTAGAAACTTTGATCAACAATACCTAACAACTAAGAGAAAGCCTCACGAACTAAACTCAAATAGCAATACGGCATCGTCTGAGTGAATATTACACAAAAGGCTTTAATATTTAGTTAAATGTTTAATTAAAATTTTATTATTTGCATTTAATATTATATAAACTAAAATAAAATACAGTTTTTATTTAAATCAATAGAAATAAAAGCACTGTAAAAGTGAGGTCTCTCCAATGAAGACTGGAAAGGTACAAGAAAATTCTGTGTATCTGGATGAAGCTTGAATGGATATTTTAGCCATGAATTTATATGAATAATAGTACAAATGAGTTGTTAAATGCTGGAAACGGACTCAATTTACATCTACAGAATATTACTAATACGTTCCATTCCGGGGAAAGGGATCGTTAGTAATGAAAATTAGCTACCATATTGTTCTCCTTATACCCTCTTAGATAGATCTCCAAGCCGTTCCTTCTAGAAACCATAATTTGATAAATTCGTCACGATTAATAAACTGACCTATTTACATCCATACTTATCATTGGCACTCTGCTAGCTTATACCACTAGCGCAGGCTACAATAAATATGGTACATAATATGATATCAAATATGGTACTTACCTGTGTCTTTTAATTAATATACAGAAGAAAGCTAGAAGACACACGACCAGAAGTATGGAACTGCATACAATGACCAGCATGTTGAGGTCGAATATTTCTGATGGAGGTCCAATTTCCTCTATAACAAAGAAAATCAATATTATAATAAAGAATACATAATGTAAGATGTCATTAATTAATGAATTTATTAAGATAAAAAATAATGAAAAATAAAGTACGGTAAGTAAGTATCTTTCTGTCCAAAACTATCCACTAGCGGTGTTAGATAAATAAAAACATAGAGGAATATTCTTTATTGTTTCCTCCAAAAGATTATAATAGTAAACATGATATATATATATATATATATATATATACAAAAATTTCAAGATATAATCACAGTGAGTAAACCATAGGTGGCCTTATCGCTATAAGCGATCTTTTCTAGGTAACTTTTAAATGGAGAGGAGTAATTATAAACAGCGATACCTCTGTCTCTTCTTTCTGCCCTTTTCTCGTATCTATTTGATATATATTTCCTTCTTTCATTCATCTCTATTTGCAGTCATCTCACTAGTCACTTTCTGTAATGTCATCTTTCACGCAGTTCATTCATCTTTCTGGGTGTTATTCAGCATTGTTAACAACACCTCTAGTGGATAGTTAGTTAGTTTTTTAACACAAATTATTAATGTAAGCACTTTCTCGTAATAATAATATTAATAACTTTATTCCATAACTATAATTGTAAGAAACTCAGTACTGGAAATTACAGTAAAAGTAAGTACGAGTACTTAAATTAATTTATACATTTGGATCAGCTTGAACATCTGTGTTCAGACTAGGTTATAAAACCTGTATCTCAGACAACAGCGCTCAACCCTCATTTAATACTACAATATTAGTTCAGTGTAATTTTTAGTGCTACATATAGAATGTTTATTTTATATAAATAGACATTTAATACGATTATCGTATTCCTGTTTACCACTATTATTTAAATTACAGAATTGACATTGTATTATGTAAATTTAAAGTATAATTTTCATTTCTTATAATTAATTAATGATATTTAATGTTGTAAATAAATTAAAATGTACAAAAGTTATAATTGCATGTAGTGTTTTGGAGTTTCATCATTTGTAAACTGCAGCTAACAATAAATATGTAAATAAAGTTAATTGATCTAATATACATAATCTAATGACAGGAATTAATAAATAGGATACACGATCCAAAATGGACAAATTTGTAAGACACATACAGTTTATAATATCAATGGATTACTAGCTGACCCGTCTACTCTCTATCGTTACCTACTGGGTCCAATTTTATTGAATTAAAAATTATCCTATCTTTCAAGTTGAAGTAAACATTTACAAAATTTCATTAAGTTGAGCAGTTTAGGAGATTAGCATGAATAAACATCGTGACACGGGATTTTTACACATTAAGCTAGCTGTTACTGGTATCCGCAGCTTAGCAAGGACGGGGTCGATTTACCCTTTAATTTTAAATTTTCCAAAATCTTTTTTAGTCGTTATTTACTTCATAGACTTTGCTCTAAATATCAGCTTTCAGACATTGTAGTTATGGCTGTGTATTTTAAGTAAGTACAAACAATTTTATAAATATAGATTACGAGTCATTATTTCTTGTGGAAAGTTTATTGAATTCAACACATGACAGTATTTAGGATTATTATAATTTTTTTTTATTTTTTCTATATTTGGCGTGAAGGTCTGGGCATAGAATAGTCCATCCCTTCTTTTAGCATTAATGTCGTAAGAGGCTATTAAGCGAGCTTATGGTGGAGAGATTAGCAGCAGCTTTCCTTTTAAAACATCACCAAAGTTTAATTACGGTTACCAACCCACCTGTCAAGCGTAGCAACTACTAGCAAAACCCCCATTATGGGGGAGGCTGTTTTCAGCATTGGATAACAACTGATACAATACAATACAATATCTTTTTCTTTACAGCTTGTTTATCACAACCAAAGAAGTACTCGTAAATAAGATTTTCGGCAATCACCAAAGATGAATAGGTAGGTACATAGGTAAGTTACAAACGCCCTTCTTGAATGGATAGATGGAATATCAAATAAACTAAGGATAAAACGTATTGACTGATTGATTGTTTCACTAAAACCACAATTCTTTTACGTAATTTTATTTGCTCTGTTGGTATTGTTGGCACCGCCTCAAAATTGGTCAGATTAGATTACGAGCTTGGTTGAGTTGTTTCTTTTAATATTTATACACTTTATGTCCATTTATTTATTTATTTATTCTTCTTATATATATATATATATAGGCAGTTAGGCTTTGGTTAGGTTTTTAGAGGGATACTGCTGCCTGTCCCTCGTCCATTAAATTCCCTTAGTCGCCTCTTATGGTAGCCACGACAAAGAATGGGCTAGCCTATTCTATGCCACTGGCACACAGTAATAAAATTTTTAATCCTCATGCTCAAAATATTAAAATACGAATTGAATATTCTAATAACATTTCCATAACTAATTAATAATTTTCAAACATCAATAAAACTTATAGACAAGTAAAAACAAATCTTACTATAGATGAGACTACAATAATATTTCAACATCTGTGTAAACCGCATTTGGAAAACTTCATTTCTATGGAACGGCATATTTAATGGAGGCGGTTTTAATGTCTGTCTTTGACCTCTGACTGTCTAGTTTTAATATTTAAAGCCGGGTATTTGCGAGGGATGTGGCGCAATTTTGGACTTCTCTATGGCAAACTACAGAAACGTGTACTAGACAAACCTTATGCCGTTACGATAAAGTTCATATTGTTGGATATGTGTTTATGTTTCGTTGAGTTTGCCTTGCGTACACTATATTATTTTCTGTCAAAACTAAATAGGAACCAAGTGTTTTGCTTTGTAATATAATTTCAGCTTCTGTTGGTGTTAATTTATTTTCTATTTATGAGTTATTGTTACATTTTTTTATGAAATCGTGAATGTTTTTGCTTATGTATTTAGTATGAAAATTTTATATATATATATATAATTTTCATACTAAATACATATACTATAAAGTATTTACATTGATAATATAACTAATCCTACTAATATTATAAAGATAAAAATTTGCGAGTATGTATGTATGTTTGTTTAACAAAATAAATGAATGAATGAATAAAACAAAAGATTTTGTTTCCTTCAAAAAAAGGTACAGATAACAAACATAATAATATGTACACAAAAAATTAATAATTAACTTAATTGCAAAAACTTAATTACTAAAAAACAAGATAAAGAAACAAAAAAGGGCGGCCTTATCGCAAAATAGCGATCTCTTGCACGCAACCTAAAAAAAATTCTCTCACAATAACTACTGAATTGAAATTTAGATTAAATTTGCAACATGGTTAGGTTGTAACCATCTAACTCCTTGCTATTTTATATTCTTATTATTTTATATATTTTGTATATTGATTCACGCAGGTAAAGCTGCAAAATATAGATTATATTATAAATTTCCGTTTTTTTTATGCAACTTTGAATGGCAAAAAAGCAGACGGCCCACCTGATGGAAAGTGGTAATACGTCTCCTATAGACATGAATAGTACAGAGACAAAACAGAATATACAATTTCGTCCATGATACCCCCCACGCGTTACGATTCCTGAGGACTCAGGTATCATTCTTCTGTACCTTGTTAATTCACTGCCATATCCCACCTTTCAAATCGAAACACAACCATGAAAATACAACTGCCCAATGGTAGAAACATGAATGGGACAGAGGTGTCCAAGCAAACGACTTTTGTACAAAGTCTCCCTCTGGTAAAGAATCTCTGAAGAATCTCTAAAGTCTCCCTCACAGATTGTAAAGAATTTCATGTATTTGCTACTTATGCATAAAAAGATGAACGGTTTTGTATTAATTTTTGTACACAGGTAGATTATAGCCGAATTTAATTGGAGTCGTATGACTCCAAACACTGATTGACATGAGGAAAAACATGGGGAACAGTTAGTTCTAAGACAAATAATCTTCACGCTTGCGTCAATACAGGCTAAACAATAATCCAAGCCACAACATGGCTCAAAGTTAAATTAATGACGTCACTTTGTCAGTCCTCGAGTCTGTCAGGTTTGTAATAGCAAAAGTTTTGATGGTTAAATTATTAAGATGTACTATCGGATAATAAATGGGGACGGTATAGGTTCGGCGTAAATTGCGCCTTAATTCATGACACGAATTAGAATATCGAGGTCAAGTTTAGACATTTACAAGTTCTGTTGATTGAGTTATAAACTTCACAATAGGTATAATTTCGGCTTCAATGATACAGTCTACAATATAATAGGACTATTCATCCCTATTATACTGTAAATTACTGTAAACTGTATCATTAAAGTCTGTACTGTAATACAGGACTTAATAGTTTCATTATTTATAAAATTATTATACTAATTGAAGAAACTTAATTATTAAATTGCAGAAAAAATTAATAAAAAATATTATTAATTGAGAAGGAATAAATATAATTAAATTAATACATTAAATTACTTTGTTTTTAAAATGCCTTCTTCCTGCAGAGTGAATTTTTAATTATGAGAGTCAAGAATGCATTGTTAAATATACATTTTTTTTTAATTAAATCAAATATTAAAAATGCAGTATAATAATTTCAATGTTTCTTCTTTCGGCCTGACTTATTTAATATAATATATATTATGTACATTATTTTTAGGTAAGCTTTTAACAAAAATTCGAATTTATTAATATTTCTCTATATTTCATCTGTTTTTGGTAATTTTTTATTAGATAAAATATGATTTTATATTCAAAACTCATGATTAATTTAGTTAACTGAGAATATAGCAAAAATGTAGTGAATAAAACTATTTTTGCAAAATGTTCAATTATATTTATAAACATTTGAAACAAACTGCGTGACATAAAAAAAATATAAATATTTAAAAAATAGTAAATGTACTAGTACCTATATGAAGAAGGTGTTCAACAAATGAATATCTATGTAAATAAATAAACATTAATAGAAAATAGAAAAGAGGGAAAACATAATTTTCATAGTGCAACTCTTTACACGTTTTCATCTTTTTCAACCACAAAACTGGCAAACAATCGTACAGCCCATCTGATGGTAAACGATCACTAAAGCTTATGAATACATTTGCAACATTAGGGGTGTCACGTGCGCGTTGCATATTCATTCAAACATTCTCTAAACAAGTGAAATAAACTTGTTTACGATATTTAGAATAGTAAACTTACCTCCATCCAAAGTTTTGGTCGCATATGTATATACGGTTGAAGCAGTTCCGGCATCATTTGTCGCAGTCACTCTCAACTGATACCAATTAGCTGGAGAGAGAGATCCGACGGCGTACGATGTCGGTATGGAGCGAAGTGGTGGTGCTTGATAGTGGCCTTCCATGTAACTCCATCCAAGATTGAGATCCATAGGCTATAATGGAATGGATTAATTTAGTTCTTTTTTATGAAACCTAAAATGGTAAACAAGCTGATGGTTCACCTGATGGAAAGTGGTAACCATCGCCTATAGACATGAGCAATACCATGGATATAACAGAGTATACTGTTTCGCCCATGACACTTCCCAAGCATTGTCATTCTACTAAGGTGTTGTGCCTCTGTTCCCTGTAAATTTGCTGCCATATCTTACCCTTCAGAGCGAAACATAACCATGCAAATAAAACTGCAAAAGTAAACGACTTTTATACAAAGTCTTTCTCTGGTAATCATGAACAGCATCATAGACATTGGACAATTTACGTCAAATCTGACTAAATTTTTTTAACCTCTCATACTAAATTGATCACTTGACTTCGTGGCTTGCATATACGTTTCAAAAACACTTTAAGATTTTGAATTTGAAAGTTATATAGTTCCGTGAATACTGTCACTGGATTTCGACTTAGTAAACCTTTTACGACTTACTCTGTATTGTATTTTGATTATTATGGTTTTAATTGATTATTCTGGTAATTGATCTTCCTCTAGGTAATGAAAATAATTGATGACATTATAATAATAAATCCATCTTCGCCAACATTTGTAGATTTTCTTCTTACATCACCAACAAATTTATGTCTTTGAATTGACAAGAACAATTACATAATACAAATAAATCCACTTGTATTCAATTACATTTCTTATAATAATGTTCAAATATCCAACATAATTTTCAATATTTCAGTATTATAAGATACTTTATAAATTCCATTAACGAAGGGAAAAGGAAATGTAATACCTAACTGTAATTTAATATAATGTAAAAGGAGTCAATCTGGAAAATGTAATCGAAGATTTCTATTGAATCCCACAAAAGGGCTAACCTTAGTTCGACATCCTTTATACATATATATCTTCACTTACGTCTAGTATGGTACTGTCAGCAAGAAAAGTCTATATTAAATTATCTTTACGCCAAATCTTTTGTAAGGTCCAGATAAAACATAGAATCAAAGGCATCTAACCTTAGATACATCAATTATTTCATGCACTTACATAACTCATGTCATGCTTATACGCCGGGTTCAGAGATTCCTAACTTCTGTCTCAAGCAGAACACGGTCTATCTGATCATAATAGGTTAGTCTAGATCTCCTTCGATCCCTACATTTATCCACTTTCGCACTATATTACTAATCGTATATTGTCAATCTTTCAGTTGACATTCTTTCTAGATCAACTAACATAGCTTACCCTATCTCACTTTCAACCGACTTCAAAAAGAAAGAGGTATTCAATTCAGTTGTATTTTTATGTTTATTTCCTCATAAGTCAGTTGTAAATCGATTTCGAAAATATTTTTTTTATTTGAAAAGATGTGTTTTGATCCCATAGAATTTTTATCAAAATCGATTTAGTAGTTCAGTTTTTAAATGAAAATAAAAAAAATAATGATTTTAAAAACCTTATATACAAGCAACTAATCAACTAATTTTGATCTTATCTATCCAAATATGGTGTTAACTTATTAAGTTACTTATGTTTAAAACCGTATTTACTGGGTTTGGAGCTAAATAGGTGTTCTTCAACTTTTGATGATGATTGTACTGCATGCCAATGGAATGGGATAAAATGAAAAGTTTTCTGTAGCGAATAAATATTGAGATATTTCAAAGTCTTGTCACTATGCTTATGGATATTTGCTATAATAGTGAGTGTTCTGCCGAAATCTAGTGGTGTATTGACCTCAGCTTGTAAGTCTCAAAGTGTGTTCAAATTTGGTAGACTCCAAACCCTTTATGTGTCAATTTAAATTTCCGACTAATTCCCCAGTAATGGAATATTCTGATAACAAACTAAATTAATCTGATTGATGTAGGTAATTTGTTGCCATATAAAATTCGATTGTACTTGACGAAATGTGAGCATGTCGAATGTTATATTCACATTTATTGACTACTCCGTCAGTGATTACAGTGCATATTTTTTTTTATTTAAAAACTTTATTAGTATAGTTAAAGGCATTTTCTGATTGCTGTCCTACTAGCTTCTATTCGATACTTCGTCTACATGACCGAAATATATTTACTAACTGGGATTAAACGTCTTTCTACATTCCTTATAGAATGTATATACCAAATTTCATAGGGATTGGTTAAGCCCTTAAAGCGTTAAGAGGTAACAAACAAAAAAAACTCACTTTCGTATTAATAATATTAGTAAGGATACCAAGCCGCCTGACCAGAGTGATAGAAGTAGCTTAGATTAATCCGTACTCTGCAATAGGACATTCGATTTATGCTAAGGTTGCCTCAAAATTAAAAAATATAATCTTACTGCTTTATTCTCAGCTCGATGCCAAGAACTAGATCCGAGGGTTCTGTAGTCCACTTCCCATTTATTGACGTCGCAGCCTCCATCATCCCAACCACTTAGCTGGATATAAATATGGGTGGCGTTGCTCCACAGCCAGTCAGTAGATGGAGGCGATACTGGTGCTAAATATAAAAATAGGGAAACGAGAAAAAAATAAAAGAATTTTTATTTAAAACTTGTAGATACGACTAAAATTAAGGTATATTCGGTAAACATAATACTCTTTTGATGTTTCACAGAAAATAAAGTAAAAGAAAAGGTCAACATATTGATTTATGGGTTATATTTATGTGATCAGGTTTGAGGATTTGGATGCATAAAGATTTAGGTAGGGCTAAATAATATTAGAGCTTATAAATATGTTTATGCGCCAGATTTGTAGAATTTCAAAGTTAATTATCTCAGCTTTTGTATTACATGTGACAAAAGCTATCTAATAGTATATAAAGATAAAGCATTACTACAAAGAAATAATAAAATTATCAGTACACTAAAGAAAAAGATATCATTAAACATTTGAAAGTGCCCAAACTACAAGAACGCAATTAAAGAATTAAATAAACCTGTCCTCAATATCATTAAAATTCTACAAAAATAGGTATAAATAAAATACTTTAAAAATATTAAAAAAATGTACTTACCGCCACCTAACGTAGTGACATCAACATGAGCTGGTGCTGAAGTACCAATGTGATCAGTCGCCGTGACCCTCACAGAGTATTTAGTTCCACATTTAAGTCCAGCTAAAGTATGCTGTTGTACTCCAGGTAACCGAGTCTCTCTAGCTACAGGCCATGCTTCTTGCCATGAACCATCTCCTTCTCTCCAGGTTAAATTATAACCTAAGTTAATCATATTTCGTTAAATGTAATCTAAATTGTTATCAAAAATTATGTTTCTCTATTCAATAGCTCAATACTTAGTAACCTAGTACTGTTTTGATTTTCATATTTTATACTAGGATCATTTCAAGACAGGCAAAAGAAATTAAGTGCCAAAGGTCTGTTACTTTTCATACATCTAGTTACAGATAGATTAATTAAAGCTTTTTACATAGAATTTATTATTATTATTATTATTATTTATTTTTAATTATCTACCCCTGAATATAAAGGTTTCGTTTAAACAGCTTTAAAAACAGGTACAGAACCACTTGTGGCTACTAATATAATATATTTAAAGTCATCGCTAAGTGGGTAATTATCTTACACTAAATTTGTCTATATAGAATCATCATTTCAGAACTTCTTCTTGTCTTCTTCGTCTTCTCCATGGACTGTCGGTTCTTCGATGGAGCCAACCAAAAACATAAAAGTGACAAAACAAATAAAATTACTCACTTATTCCATAACCTAATGAATCGTTATTGTAACTTCTTGTTTCATCCCATTCAACCACAATATAATCCTTATATGGAGTAGCTCTAATTGCTGGCGGATCTGGTAGAGGAAGAACTTTAACGGCGTATACTACAGAATCAGATCCATACAGATTTTTGGCTAGGCACGTATAGTTGCCACTTAGAGATTGGTCAATGCCTAGAAGAAAAATATCCTTTATTCGTATTGTCATTGTTTCAAAAATTATACAGTTAATAGCATAGTAAAATATAATTTTTCGGTTAGATTAGAAAAGTACAATTTAGGACACAAAAGCTAGTAATAGTAGAACTTCCAAAAATTTATAAAGCATAAAACCAGAGGAAGTCCATACTTAGTATAATACTTGAGTACCTCTGTCTCATCATGATGTCATATCTAACAAGTTTGTCATTTGCTTGGCAACAAAGCAAATTTTGGTAGGTTTACGTAGTCGTCTTTCAGTTAGTCATATCAGAGGCCTTCAAACTTTTGATTGCAAAACTTTCTCACAAGTAATAGTAATAGTACTTCACATCTAGCTAAGCTCCGATTTTAAAGATGATAATGGTTATGAAAATAATATTTGGACTCTTCAAATCAGGAGTCGGTGCTCAAATGACATCATAAAGTTCATAAGATACTGCATTTTAATTTTGTTCTTAAATCAATCTACGTCACGTATATTGTTGTTTACTATTACTACGATACTGGTTTAAAAAATCAACATGATTATTTCTCTGATTACATTGTTTCTATGAATTATCTTGTTTTGTGTATTGTATTAATTATTTTAATAAGGGAGTATCTATTGTATTATATTATTTTATTTATACTCTGCTACTTCTTCGAAAAAAAAAGGTTTTACAACTTTTAATATTAGTGATTTACATTTTATTTATAGTAAACAAGGAAAATACGTTTTTAATTTCTTCGTAACTGCCATCTGTTTAGGATTAGAATAAAAAGCTAAATTAAATTAATAATGCTTGTCTAATATTTTATTTAATCCCGTAAGTTAAGCCGTGGCTAAATATAGGAACCATAGTAACTGGTGTAATTAGAATATATTTGCATAAAATTTTAAATTTTTACATTAAACTTTGTCATGTAAGATATTATAATATAAGCAAAATGTATAAAAATAATTAAAACAATATGACTCATGATAATTATTATTCCACATGTGTATTTTTAATTTGATTTGAGACAGAGATACCCATATAGGTGAATTTTAGTTCAAAATGAATGATTATATCATTCGTAAATGTTCGTAATACATATATAGTCAAATCAATATGCTCATTTTTAAAATCGATTGATTATCGGTCCTAAAATCTATAACATTGATATTTTCAGAAAATGCTAAAACAATTTCTATAAATTATAAACACATCAAACAACTTACTTTTAATCAGTAGACTATCATCCCTATTTCTTGTGAATCTTGGATGGTGGGTGATGATATTTTGATTATGGTACCAGACCGTTCTTGGCGGCGGCGAGCCGACACTCTTGCACTCTAGTAGAAGGGAATTTCTTACGGCCACTGTGACTTCCCCTCCTAACGATGCGACGCCGGCTACCACTGATGTGAGAATGGATGGGAAGTTGAAATTATTGCTTAATCCGTATTTTAATATAATTTATATTGTATAAATATAAATAACTATGTAACTGCACTGCAATGTAAACTGCGTTAATTTTGTGTCCACAGTGCAAGGCACATTTTAAATTATTCGTTCGTCATAATACTAGTAGCTACTTTATTTGAATTTTTAAAATTAGAATTAAAGTCAATACAATTTTTTTTATATATTGGTACGACACATCGACTCTACAGCCACCTGATAGTAAGTAATTATGAAATCTGTGTGGACGCAAGTTCAACGCAAGATAACATCTAACCTGCGACCCGCACTATGCCAGAAAGAATTCATAATAATACAAATTCAATATAAAGATTTCTTTAGGATGGTAACGCGCGCGTAAAGCTCCTGGTATTGCTGGTGTTCATAGGCTACGGTGACCGCTTACTTTGAGATGAGCCGTACGCTTGTTTGCTACTTTAGTGGTATAAAAAAAATTACAAACTGTATGTTTACACTATAGTTTGTCATGTTTAGGATAATCTTTAAAAATATATATTATAATTCAGATACTAGATTGAGTATAATATAATTATTTTATAAATGTTGTATCATATTTCAATAATTATATTGAAAAATAATTGAAGACTAAGCAAACAATTGCAATAATATCTATTACATCAATTAAATAAGAAGCAGCTAGCTTAACATTGGTACTTATTGGTATAATAACCTAAATCTTAATGCATATTTTTTTTTTAAAATGAGACAGTAATCAGAAATTTGTATTCAGCGTTTTGCTTCTTAATTATTATGCATTTATAGTTATAAATTGTTCATAAGTCTGCGTTTACATTTTAAAAACTAAAAATCTAATTATTATTTACATTGTTAAAATGCATAGACTTACCTCTCTGTGAAGGCGTATTGCTGACGTGTTTGGTCTCTGGTCCTTCGCCTACTGCAGTACTAGCTGTCACCCATACATCATACTGCCGACCTTCGTTCAGATCTTTTAATTCTACAGTTTGAGTTTTCTCGTACGCATCGTAGGTTATTTGAGCGTCCATGCGTATTGTTTGGGGGCCGTCGTTACTGATAAAAAATTTTTATATTAGAAGCGCTGTAAAACTTCTACATTTCTTTTAGTGCAAAGAACTTGAACGATTATTAATTCTTTATTTTATTACTTTTTTAGCTCGTAGACGCTCTCTTTAGTTATTTCTCTGTTTGCATGGTTGACTCGTAGAAAACGCTTTTCGATGTTAAACCCACTATGTGTATACATAAAACTTATTGTGTTTAACTCTCAGTTTAATAAAATGTATTTATTTGAGTACAATATTTCGAAGGAAATGTCTAAGAAAGAGATATATTTACCTTTAAACCCTATCCGCATTTCATCAATTATGCATCAATTATGTCATGACCATCACTCCCGTAAATGGGTCGAAATATTAGTGCATTCCAATAAATAAATAAATGTGGTAAGAACTCGTCAATTATGCACACTGGAAGAGTTACTATCGGTCCTTATTCAGATCCTATATCTATTAAATATTATTACTCATTATTTAAAAGAACGTTTTATGTTTCTTGGAGAGAACAATTCTAATTCTTATTCTTTACGTAGTACTGACAACCTCCAACTCATAATTCCTACCCATTCTTCCTCTTTCTACTCCAAATCCTTTTCCGTGCAAGCAGTTCGTTTGTGGAACTCGCTCCCTACCTCTATACGGTGCGCTCAATAGTTGCCCATTTTTAAAAACTTAGTTAAAGCCCACTACCTATCCTTATAATCACTTAGTCCTACGTATTTCCAGTTTTATGTGTGTTATATATATGTGTATTAATATGGTATATTTGTATGTATTTATGCGTATATATGTATATGTATGTATATATATTTATAAGTGTATGTGTATGTAGATATATGTATATGTTTGGTTGTATGTGTTTATTTATGTATGTATATGACTACGCTGTCACAGATATTATTTTTTACAAATCTATCTTTTTTAACGCGCCACCTACCTACTTATGCTTTAATCCTTTCTACCCAAAGGTTGTCTGGAAGAGATTGCTTAGCAATAAGACCGCCTTTTGTACTTCACTATACGTATTGAAAATTGTTTTAACAAAACATGTTATGTTGGTGCAATAAAGTGTTAAATAAATAATAATAAAAGTTCTTTTAAGTAGCTACGATTTTACAGTGACATTCATAATATGTTTTCATTCATCCTATTATTATTATTAACTTGCTATTACTTGGCATAGAACTTCCCATAACAGAAGGACAGCTTATACCCACCCTTAATCCACTAAGGCTGGTAATGATATATGGCTGATAGAGTCTTATATGATTTATTTACCGTACTAACTGTTCAGTTGTATATTATGCAAGTTTTGAAGTCATGCTAAAAAAATTTACTGTGTCAACCTGATCATCCTAAACCTCTTACAAAGACAGTACGTGTATATTAAATTCGTATTCAGTGTATTAAAACCATATTAGCAAATCATCTATCACGGTTTCTTCATCCATGTAACAACGAGATATAAGTGTGTATATAATACCCACTATAATTTTTACTTTATGTTTCTAATAGCTAGAGGTACGAGTACTGTGTTGTTTTTTCTTATTAAGCTGATCTTGAAAGTGTACTAAATATTAAGTAACCACGTTTCTAGTCCCCAAGATACAGGTCTGACCTAGTTCGAAGACTGATGGTAATGCTGAATTTTCATAATGTAACTAGATATAAGCTGTGGTATTAGTAATATTTTTATTTTATTCCAGGTCTGTTATTTCTTTTTTCTAATAAATGCATTTATTAATTTTATTATAATACTGACCAATAAAAGAAGAGACAGTATGTTTTTTTTCTTTGTCTTTTGATACTATTATCGAGTTTAAATAATCCGATTAAAGGAAGAAAATGATAATGATTGTAATGGTCAAGGCATTTTTTTTTTATTATTATTATTTCAGCCGTTAACTGTTCATTGCTCGACATTAGCCTTCCCCATAAGGCAAGTTTTGCCAGTAGTTGCCACTCGTGAAAGATAGGTTGGCAATCGTAATTAGGCTTTTAGAGATGTTTTAAGAGGGACGCTGCTGCCCTCCCTTAGCCTCTCACGACACCCACGGGAAAGGAAGGCCTATTCTATGCCGGGGCACGCACAGCGAGCACTCAAGTTATAATATAATAACTAAAATATACCTGTGTAAATGTGTATTGATTTGTATCTGGATAAAATATCTCGATACACCTACAACATTCTGTACTGTAACAATTTATTGTTATACAATGTTACTTAAAGAGTATCGAAGTATCCATCTTAACCCGGTTACAATTTCCTTTATATTGCGCATTAACGTTAAACTTCTTCAACAAGACTCTTTATTGTTCGTAACACTAGACTACTTTACGTAACAAATTAATATTGATTACGTGACAAAGTAAGAGTATAGTAAGCCAATCTTTTTTATCTACTAGTTATCGTTAAAAGCGCTTAAAAGAACAAAGCCTATTATCCCAGTACAAGTAAAAGAAAACTTGAGATAAAACCCAATATCTTGTCTTCTGATCAGCGTGATAAAGCTATCCTACTCTTATGGAGATAATTCTCTGTTTAGAAGTAGGATATTTATTATAGGAACGTTACAAATAAATTATATATAAACGTTTTTACCACTTCGTATGTTTGTATTTCCGAAATAGGAATGCCAATGATATCGACTGTTTTTAAATGGTATATCAAGATAAAAAAATTACCAGATTTTGAATTAGATCTTCAAGATCACAACTATCAAATTTTATTATATTACATTTTTTTTTAAATAACTTTAAATAATTTACAAGCTAATCAATTGAACAGTTTTGTCTCTTTCTTTGGTGCTAAATTACTAATTTGAAAGAACGTGAGAAAACAGTGTTATAATTAAAATACGATTGTAGATTTTAGTTTAGTTAGTAAATAATAGGAATAAACTATACCATTAACAAGTCTAAAACTTAATAGCACTTTTAATATTATATAACAGACTGTAATAATCATAATACCACTAATACATTGTTATACTAAATTGCTAAATTTCATCTTTCAAATTGAAACCACAACTACTTGGCAACAGAAATACTAGTAGAGTTACCCATACAGACGACTTTTATATAGCTTCCCTTTTATATTTCAATGCCTTCTAACAATTCTATACAATTTGGTATTACTATAAGCGTTATTGATATTATAACAGTTCCGTAAAGTTTAATTTCTGAATACTGTATCAAGAAACTTACCTAGCCGTCGGTTTGCAGTATATAGTATAGTGTAACAACCTGCCATTCGGTTGCTTGGGTTTCTTCCAACTAACAAGGAGAGAGTTCGTCGATTGAGAAAGCAGTTTTATTTCCGCTGGAGCGTCCGGCACTGTAACAATTTTACGTCTTTAGAAATGAAGACTTCGAGTGTTTTTATTTAGCTGTTTTGCATGATTAGATTAGTTTCACATACTGCCGTTAAATAACAATAAAGTTTACATTTTAAACGTAATCTTACTGTATAAGACGTAATAGAAAATTTCATAGATTTTCTTGAGTATCTAAAACTAATATAATATTAGTGTAATAATAATAGCACTTACTAGATAGTAAGCTAAACAAGCAAATTATCTAGCTACGCGTGAATTCCATAAATGTTTACATATTTTGCTGTAATGAAGGAGAATACTACAGTATATTCTATATTATTACAGCTCACTCCTGAATGAAATATCTCTTTGAGAAATGATAATCTTCCTGTTTGAGGAGGCAGAGATTACTGCTGGTAAGAAAATGGAAATTTCTCCTAAAGATTATAGTTATTTAAAGGGCATAGTGACATATAGGGCATGACTGGATAAACTATAGTAACACAAAAAATAATAAAAATAAATCCATTCAGATGTTTAGTAAATTCATTCAGAACAGAATAAAAAATAGAGATGTTCTCAGAAGAATTAAGGATATCAATATAGCTAAAGTAATAGATCGATCATGAAGCTAAAAGAACCGATAACCAATGGTAAAGAAAGATTTATGTATTTGAAGCTCGTATAAGCAGATATCAGATAAGTATGATTAATATGAACTGAACAGTACATTCCTTTCTTGTTCGGCTGTATAGAGTGCTTAAATCCAATCCAATATATAATATTACAGAATATGTATATAGTCTTTTTACTTATAACAGTAATAATAGATTTATCTAAAAATCATTAATTAGTTAAATTAGTTAATTTTTTTAAACTTCTTTTTAACTAGTTAATGATTAAAGAAAAAAGAAGTCGGTAAATTTAACACTTTTTGTGCTGGCGGGGTACCAGTGAGAGAAGATAGGTAAGGATGAAATGGCAGGCTATTTAGCCCATTGTGATGAATATACCTGGAATTCAACACGATGGTTACCAGAGGAGACTACGTGGAAATCGACCTGATAGGGCATATCGCTAGCAATGGAACTGGTATATCGTATGGCTAACAATTTCTTCCCCCTTCATTCACCTAATTATACAAAAACAAATATCCACCCATCCTCTTTTAAAATTTTCACTATTTTTTTCTTGTTTTAGACCCACGTTTCCTTTAGAAAATTGAAAACAAATTACACCGACCCTAAATATCCGGGATAAGGGCAGCAAGTCGATGTTCAATGACACTGATAGACTTTAATAATAATATACTTTAAACATAATAATACATGTAAAAGTGTTGCATGCCAAGCTGGCTGAATGGCAACACAAAATCTATAATATTATCTAAATTTACCATATTCATTGCAATAAATTTAATTTCATTTTCTTGACGAATTTAGATCTCACACTGTACATAAGATTAAACTTTATATTTACTATAATATATATGTTATATAATAATATTTGTCAAGTTATAACAATCGAAGTTACTCACCGTCTTGCAACGTAGCGCACACAATGGGAAAAGAGAACGGGCCGAGTCCGTAGTTGGAGAAACCGGCCACTTTGATGCTGTAGTTTGTGAACTTAAGTAGACCTTGTAGACGAAGCTCGGTCACGAGGGATGTGGCATTCTGCCATTGTCGACCTAAGTAATCAAACATTGTTATATAATGGTTATAATTATTTTAGAACAACCTATTTTTATGTAGTTAGTGTTTATGCAATATTCGAGAGTACGTAATGAAAACTGCATAGAAGAGCTTATGTAACATACGGGTGTGAATAATCCAACTTTATCCTGAGAAAAGGAATTGTTAACGGAAGACCTTTGGGACATGTCTGTAAAAGTAGTTAGTTCTTTCATAGATATTGTTGCTCCATATCTAGCCACTATTTTTAATAAATGTATTGATAATGGCGTTTTTCCACATTTAATGAAATTTAGCAAATTAATCCCACTATTTAAATCAGGAGATAAATTTAGGGAACTATAGACCTATATATTTGCCAGTTCTATATATATGTTATGAAAAGATAATGTTAAATCAAATGTTACATCACTTCAGGGTTAACGGACTGCTTCACAGTCAGCAATATGGTTTCACCGCCGGCAAGTCTACCACACGCAGGTGTTGCGCTAATGACACATATTTTCGAATCTTGGGAGAGGTCACAGGATGCACTCTGAGTTTTTTGTGACCTATCAAAGGCATTTGATTGTGTGGATCATAAAACGCTTTTGTACAAGCTCGAACATTATGGTATAAGAGATAATGATCTAAAATTAATGAGAACTTATTTAGAGGATAGGGTTCAAACTGTAGATATTGACGGTGTAAAATCTAAGGGAGCTAATATTAAGATGGGCGTTCCACAAGGGTCAATCTTAGGCCCCTTTCTCTTTTTAATCTACATAAATGACCTTCCCTTTATGGTAGAGAAAATTGCAGATATAGTGCTGTTTGCGGATGATATCAGTGTTTAAAATTGGACGTCAAAGTAATCAATTAGACGATGTAAATTGTGCTATGTCTGCAATATTAAATTGGTTTACATGTAATAACCTATTATTAAATTCCAGCAAAACAAAGTGTATAAAATTTACACTTCCTAATGTAAGACTAATAAATACACAGTTATTGCTTAATGACGAAATAGTAAATTTTGTTAATGATACAGTTTTTTTAGGTATAACAGTGGACTCGAAATTACAATGGGGGCCCCATATTTCAAAATTGGCCAGTAGACTCAGTTCTGCTGCATATGCAATTAGAAGAATTAGGCAATTAACAGACGTGGCGACGGCTAAACTTGTATATTTTAGTTATTTCCATAGCATAATGTCTTATGGCATACTGCTGTGGGGTAAAGCAGCCGATATAAATACTATATTTGTTTTACAAAAGAGAGCCATACGTTCTATTTATGGTATGGGTTCAAGAGAGTCATTACGTCAGTGCTTTAAAGACTCAAATATCTTCACAGTTACTTCACAATACATTTATGAAAATATTATGTATACACGGAAGAACTTAGAGAGTTTTAAAAAACTCAAAGACTGTACAAGTAGAAACTTACGCAATATAAATAAGCTTATTTTACCTAAATGCCGTCTGCACAAAATCAGTAATTCATTCTATGGTAATTGCATAAGATTTTATAATAAACTGCCGGAATCTGCATTAAATCTGACAGAGAGGCAATTCAAATCTTATATTAAACAATTTTTATGTAAGAAAGCCTATTACAGGATAGACGAATTCATAGATGACAACATATCAAGTAAATAATTAGTTTATTAGCATACAACGTTATAATTTTATTTTCTCATTGCTTTCTTGATTTAATTGATTAATTTTAGAAATATGAAAGCGTAGCGGTTTTTTGTATTAATTGCCGCATGCATTCTTATGTAAAATGTGAATACTATAACTATCAGATGGCAATTGTGAGTAGCTTTGACGTGGTCTAGTGTTTTGAGCAGTCATGCTCACTAAAATGTCCAGACTTGTGGCGGCGTGGTGGGCCGGGTCATTGGGCTCCCTAAAATATGGTCGAGCGCAGTGATGGCTGGCTCATCCGTCATACTCGTGAACGGGTGCTGCTTGTAGGGACTGGTCTGCTCTAATCACTATGACTGATTTCCTCTTATTAATTGTTTAACCAGTTGGTTATGTATTCAATTTTTTTTTTCTTTTTGAGTATTTAATTGAATTAGTGCTAATTGGTGGTTTGTATTCACACAATTAAACTTAAAAATGTAAAATAATAATAAACTTATTTAAAAGAGCATCACGCAAGTTTCTTGCTCGTTCTTCTTCTGATGAGACAGCTTTCCGAACGAGCGGTAAATTAAAAAAAATGTAATGACTTTTCAAAAGTGCTTCAATGTAAGTTTATTTGAATAAATGATTTTCTATTCTATTCTATTCTATGTTAGTAATGTGGACTACCAATTCTATTGCTAGCAATATACCTTGTTCATTTGATCTCCACGTGGTCCTTCTGGAAACTATCGTGCTGAATTTCAGGTATATTCATCACAATGGACTAACTGATCTGTCTTTTCATTCTCATCTATCATCCTTCACTGGTGCCCCGCCACCGTATACCATTAGCATAGGCGGGGCTACCATTCCATTATATTCTACAATATTTAAAAAAATACCAATAATATAATGTTTTTGTCATTCTTCATTATCATTTTTTAAAAATACTCAACTTTTTTAGAAGTTTTAAAGGACCAGCCCAAGTAGTCAAAGTACGAACGAATCTGAACGAATCTGTCAATAGAATTGGTTCGCTCATATTAGAAAGAATAAGAAACCGGAAGTCGCCATCTCGTTCCCTCTCATGATATTGCTAGCGACGATTCTACGTAGATAAAGCAGAAACGATTCTATCAATAGAATCGATTCTACTTTATCTAGGGGTCTGGTTAATGTGGGGCGCTCGACGGATTAATGGATGCAAATGGAACGGTAGGCCTGTTAATGGTATAGGTTTTTAGTGGATAATGATGGAATGGTTACCTCGCCTTCACTATCGGAATATAACCAGGGCACCAGTGGCGAATTAAAGGCAACGATGAATTCAGTTCAGTTGGCCAATTATAACTAATTCAATGTGAGTTAACTACGATGGCTTCTAGGGAGGCAGGCGTGGAAGTTGACCTGATAAAGTATGCTGCTATCCATGGTGTTAGTTAAATCTCATTACTAACAATCTCTTATCTCCATAACGGTGTAGGTAGATAGGGGCACTATCTAAGGGAAGATGAAACGATGAGGTTGGAAACAAATCAGTTAGCCTATCGTGATGAATTTAACAAGAACAACCGGCAGCACCCCTGCAATACCGCTGGTGTTGTGGGTGATCATGGGCGGCGGTAGTCACTTACCATCAAGTGATGCTCGTTTGCCCCCTGTGTTGTAAAAAAAAGCTACGATGGTTTCTTGGAAGAGCCGCGTGGAAGTCATGCTGAGCAATTGCTAGCAATAGGCCGTTAGATTCCGTTGCTAACAATACCTTTCTCCCGAGAATTATTACTCAAACTATTTATTACCCTCAAACTATATATTATTTATTGTAAGACCCCAAACCTCAGTATTATCAATTGAATTTAGTATGAAATGCAAATTATGTGGGTTTAATCTTATTTGGATAGTAATTAGCGAACATGGATAAAGCTCTTTAGTAAACTCATGTGTTCATGCATAGACATAGTTACAAATTTAGGACACAATATTACAATTTGTTACAATTATAATAAATAGAATGTTTAGACAATTATGCATATCTTTACTAATATTACAAAATGTAAATGTGATTTTTAGTCGTATAGGTTCCGGCATAGAATAAGCCACCCCTTCCTTATCTGTGGGTGTCGTAAGAGGCGACTAAGGGAGGATGGTCAGTAGTGTTCCTTTTAAAACATCATCAAACGTTAAACTGCTGTTGCCAACCTGCCTGCCAAGCGTGGCGACTTCTGGCAAAACCCCTCTTATGGGGAGACTATATATATTCTTTATTGCACTTGTAAGTTATATATAAAATAATCTATTTATAAATGTTCTATATGTTTATAAATGTATGTTCAGCTAATAACAACTGATACAAATGTGAGTTTGTTTGTTTATTACATTATAGCGTCTTAACGGCTTAACCCATCACTATAAAATTTAGATATACGAGTACACCTATTTTATGGGACGGAGAAGTACACAGGCTACTTTTTGTCTCGTTCAGTGAACATATCTTGGTCACAAAGACGAAGTCGCGAGTAAAAACCAGTATATTCGTTGCATTTTATTAGTAATTGCAAAATTTACGGATCAATATATCAGCCGTTAATTGTCCACTGTTTAACATAGGCCAACCCCTTGGGGATTTTGCCGGTAGTTGCCTTGCTTGGCAGGCGGGTTGGCAACTGTAATTAGTCTTTGGTGATGTTTTAAGAGGGACACCGCTGCTCATTTCTGGACATTAAAATTCCTTTTATCATCTCTTACGACACTCACGGGAAAGGACTCCTCCTTTCCCGGCCAATTCTATACCGGAACCACAAGACGAGATTAAGGATAATTGTCAGATATTTGTACGTACAAAAATAAATATAATTTATGTGAGGGACTTCTACAAAGTTATCTCTAAGCAGCTGCGCTTGCATGGCTGTATTTCAAATTGAAGGGTGGGATTTGGAAATAATAATTTGAAATACAAATGCACAGTTGTTAAGTGATAGAAACATGGTCGAACTTTTGTGAAAAGTCCTCATTTGTATATATTTTTCAATTATGCATATATAATTAATTGTATAGTAATATATCTAATAGTAATCCCCTTTATGTGGAAGGTCTATCTATGTTCAGCAGTCTACGTTAACTACCCATTAACGACTGACATGATGATGATGATGATGATGATCTAAATGTTGACGACAAAGTTTTAATGTTAAACAGATTAGAATTCAATGACATACTAGTATTTCGAGTTAGGATACAAAACAATTCATCTATCACCTACTGCCTACTCTTAAATCATAAGAGCGTATTAATAGATTTAATATTCGCAGTTGCATATTGAGTACGCATCAATATCAATTTGCGTTATGTATGACTCGAAGCTTAACTCTACCAATTACACTACGTTTGTATTTAGTACTATATAGTTTATTTGTCCATGATTTGGACTATTGTTCTCTTATGACATATGGAAATTTGATTTAATTTACGAGTGTTTACATGATGTATATTTACATGATGTAACTAAGCCTGAGAACGTGTAACGCGGTCGGCGAAGGTTTTGGTCCTCTGACAAGCTGTACTTAGATACTATTATATATTATAAAACAATGAAGAGTCGATTGTTCAAAAAAAAAAACTTAATCTAAACAAAATTCATATAGAATTTCAGTAAGCATTACTCGTATCAAAATTCATTCAGAATTTGCACAGATATCACATAATATGGCAACTGATATAAAAAATAATTTAGGCTTTTGTAGCAAAAATTGAATGAAAATACATTGGTGACACAATTCGTGACACAATTAATATGTGACTAATCTGGGATTAAATACTATTTATTTAAATAAAACTGTTCAGAATTATAAAAAAAGAGTATACATAGATATATGTGCAATAATAGATAAGTTTTGCACACATAAATATATTTATGATAAAAAAAATGGAGACTAAGGAATAAATATTATACGAGTATGTATATTTATTAAGTTTTCAGAACATACACAAGTACTGCATGGCACTGAATAATATATACTGAATATTATAGGCAATCCTTATACTTTTTATCACTTTCCTAAGATGGATTAAGAGAGAATGCCTTTAGCATTAAATTCACACATATATATATTCTAAATAAATAAATCTCTGCACGTCATCCTATGTAAAGTGATGGAGCAACGTTTTTTGAAACTTTTCATTAAAATATCTACTGTAATACCACGTAAAATTTATTTCTAAAATTTGAAAAAGTTATACGGCGTATAAATATATATAAAAAAATAATATTAGGACCAAATTTCGTGACAAACAATTTGATACGTCAAATGTTAAGACAAGTTATAAGTTATTTAAGCCAAAAATATACAGAAATCCATACAATAATTGGTTGTTTACAATTATATCCTATATAAACGTTTAATAAATTACATTATGATTAGCAGTAATTTAATAAGGACGGAGTATCCATAGTTTCCACAGGAATCAGCTTTAAACCTTGTGGGCGATTTGGCGAAATTTCCATAGTAACGGCAGATAACGGGTTCCATGTGGGCGAAGTCGCGGAAAACGGATAGTTATAAATAAATCATCTTGTACTGTAAACAAGTAAATAGGTTACCTGGAAGAGGTCGCTTATAGCGATAAGGCCTCGTTTCCTCACTGTGATTATAATCATCATCATCATCATAATATCAGTTTTTAACTGTTCACTGCTGAACTTAAGCCTTCCCCTTAGGGGTTTTGCCAGTAGTTGCCATGCGTGGCAGGTGAATTGGCAATCGTAGTTAGTCTTTTGAGAAGATTTAAGAGGGACGCTGCTGCTTATCCCTCGTCCTCCCTTAGTCGCCTTTTACGACACTCATGAGAAGGAAAGGGATAGTCTATACTATGCCGGGACCATACGGCGATAATTATCCTTATTGTGATAATTTCTTGTATTTTTTTTAATAATAATAAATTTATTGCCATTCTTTACAAATATTGTACGGGAATTATAATATACATATATTAATAAATAAATAAATACATTGTGCAGTATCCATAAGCCTGGCAATACAAACTCAGCTTTTGCCGGACTGATGTGCGTTCAGCGCTGATTTTCAATTTGCACTTACACGGGCCACCGTTTAATTATCAAATATTTATATATATGATACATAGATGTAACACAAATAGAGAACAAAAAAATACAAATAATTGTATGCATTTATAATTAGTTTACTATTGTAATCTTTTGGAAAAACAATAAGGAATGTCTATCTACCATAGGGAGACTTTGTACAAAAGTCGATTGCTTGGGTACCTTTGTCCCATTCGTGTTTCTACCGTGAAGCAGTTGTGTTTACATGGCTGTGTTTCGGTTTGTAGGATGGGATATGGCGTGAATTTACAGGGTACAAAGGAATAACACCCGAGTCCTCAGGAATGGCAACGCATATCGGTATCATGGGTGAAACAGTATACTCGGTTATGTCCATGGTACTGCTCATGTCTATAGGCGACGGTTAGCACTTTCCATCAAGTGGGCCGTTAGCTTATTTGCCATTCTAAGTTGTATAAAAAAAAATCTACGAGTATTTATCTATCTACCTTGAGCAGCGTACAGCACAGTATATCCGATTAGGGCACCAGCTTGCTTATGCGGTGGTATGGGTTGCCAGCTCACTCTCAACGCTGTCGACGTCACGCCACCGCACTCCACTGAAGACGGACCTTCTTCTGGGGCTGTTTGAAAGAAACTTAAATTTAAGCATTTTTTGTAATGGTAAATTTTTATGATTATACCCGAATATAGTACAATTGCTGCTGTGAGAAAGCACGAAATACGATTGTTTTTTTTCAAAAAGTTTAATTTTAGTAATCATTTATTTGTGTGATATATCATTCAATATAAACACATTACATTCCAAAATTTATTACTCGGTTAGAGTAATTACCGTGAGTATTGAGCCAAACCCTCAAACCCATTGAGTAATCATGAGGGGAGAAGGGGTTGTTAGTAATGGGGGTTAGCAACTTCATTGCTAGCAATATACTCTAGCAGATCGACCTCCTCATAGTTCACTTTGGAAAGCGTAGTGACTGATTATTGTCGAATTCGTCACGATGGGCCTAATGACTTTTTTAAAAAAAAACATAATCTACGGGTTATTGTTTGGACACAAAACTGGAGGAATTGTAAGTGTATCGGTTTCTTAGAAAGGTATATACATTTTCTTTAACATTTTATTATTAATTTAGTTTTAAAATACCTTATTTAAAAATAAAAATGTAATAAATATTAGAGTAAATTCTAGTGACTGCGAAAAAAATCGTCATAATCAATTCAGAATTAGTCAAGTTTTGCCATCCTTAGTCGCATAAAAAATGGCGCAACACAAAAAAGAAATGCTGTTAAATTGAGAGGTTTTTTTTGTCAGTGGGATTATTAGGCACCTAATAAGTCATAATTATTTTTCTTCTCCTGTCGGATACTTAATTAAAACATATGAATTTAAATTGAGAATGTTGGAACGGTAAATTTGAAAAGTTCCCCTAAAAAATATAAAATATAACTGGCACCTAACAAAAGGTGAGAAGTAATTATAACAGCAATAAGGAAGTTTCAACGAAAAACGTTAATGAAGACGATAACGCTTTATGCCATAAACTTTTCGGCGTAAAGTGCGAATTCAGCTAATTTACGTGTTACACTTGTTGACGTAATTTCAAATTTTCGCCCACTTTGCGAATGGGGAATTTTTTGCACAAGAGAAAATTGTGTTAATTTTGCATATTTGCTGTAAAAGGAGACTGAGGGAATACGACAAAGTTTTCGGCTGTAAAAATGGAAAATTACATTGTTGAAATTTACAGCAGTTCTAATGAAAGTTTTTATATGTGCTTCACTTATTAAACGCCAGCCAAGAATCATGCATAAACAAGTATATAAAATTATACCATATCTACCAATAAAAGTATATATATATGGCAATAATTTTATTTATATTATTAATTTTTAGATAATAACGTATATTATATTAAACATATTTTAGACAGAAAAGATTTAATGTCTTAGGTGGAAAATTCAATGTCAAGTAAAGTAATAGTTATATATATGCATGTTGATATACATCTAAATATAGGCCTTTTCATGACGTAGTGTAAACTGATGGCAATTACTTTACTGTTAATAAATTGCTATTTTATTCTTACAAATTTTTTTTAACCAAAGAAATATGTTCCAAAAAATTCCATTTAAGAAAATAAATAGTGAAAAACCCGACTGGACAAGTTTCTCAGACCTGACATGCCGTAAAATCGGCGACGAGCCAAGCTTTGAAAGTTTTAAACTTGAAAAATAGGTAAAACTCACCCCCTTCCCTCGTGTCTTGAAACAAAGGAATGGAAAATGGCCCAATTCCAGCGCCGTTGAAGGCCGCCACTGAGACCGCATACCTTGGTTAGAGAAAAAGATCACGTATTACAAAATAAATAAATACCACTGGAGATATTTATTACTCAGCCTCATCTAGTACCAACTTAAGTAGAGCGTGTACTCGTTTTATGGATACTAGACAACTAACAAAAATATTTAAATACTTTTATTATTATTAAATACTAGCCGTGTCCTACGGCTCTGCTCGCATGGATCAGTACATAAAGTATCCTATATTCTAAGTTAGAATATAATTTATTCGTGTATCAATTTTAATTAAAATCCGTTTAGTAGTTCATACATGAAAGTGTAACAAATATACATCCTTCCATCCAAGCTGTATCTTCGTGGCTACATTCGCATATACCAATATTATATATGTGTTTACTAGGCATTACAATATGGTTATTGATTCGATATCTATATATTGCGTTCTTTTGGATATTGATCACGGAATAAAGGTCATCGCCCATTTAAGTAACTCCCATATCGGCTGGATATTTCTGAATACGTTTCAAGTGTGTTACCCAAAATTTTAGATAAAAAACTTTTAACATATTCGTTATTGGAACAGTATATATATAGATTTTGTAAACAAAATATATAGATATTGGTATACATTACCCACCTCTAGTGTTTGCTATATGTTAAATTTAATTCATTAGTATAACTAAATTCCTTTCTAATCTTTAACGGGTGATCGGTTTGAAGGGTGGGATATGACGTGAATTTACTGGGTACAGAGGAATAACACCTGAGTCCTCAGGAATGGCAATGCATGGGGGATGTCATGGGCGAAACAGTATACTCTGTTATGTCCATGGCACTGTTCATATTTATAGGCGACGGTTACCACTTTCCATCAGGTGGGCCGTCAGCTTGTTTGCCATTCTAAGTTGTATAAAAAAAAAATAACGAATATACATTTTAAATATTTGTACGAACTTTTACATTTATAAGATTAAGTAGGACTAAAGTGTGTTTGACCATAGACTCACCTGATGTTATTAAAAAGCATTGTTTGAATTAAAGATAAAAAAGGAATCATTAATCTAAGACCTAGTATTATGACATTAAATATTCCGTTTTGATACAATTCCAACTTGAACGTATCAAAGCGTTATTACGAGACATAATCCATTTTACCGCCAATATTATTAATTCACATCCATTCAGACGTTTCATTGAATAATTAATTACAATAATAATTAGTCGTAATAGCAATTAGAGATAATAACCTTAATTAACTCGGGTTTTAAATTATTTACCGTGCTACCATGTTTTATTATATAATCTACGGGTATACTGGTATTATAAAGAGGGAAGATTCCGTTTGTTTCTTTGTAATGAATAAACTCAATTAGTCAATCGATTTTAAAAATTCTTTCGCATATAGAAAGCTACATTATTAGCGAATAACAGGAGCTATATATTATATTCCAAAATTAAAATTGTATTCCAGATCAGCAGTATTAAACATGTTACTAATTAGAATCTATCAAACAAATACAAAATTATTTAATCCTCCTAATATTATAACCTAGCTTATATTCCATGATTTTGCCTGAATCAGAAAATAAAATATTCTATGTACTACGTTAGTATCGGTAATACACGTGTGACATTCTTGGTGTTTCAGGCGTCCATAGACTACGGTAACCCTGTTTACTATTAGACGGACCGTATGCTTGTTTGCCACCATAGTAGTATTAAAAAAAGGTTACGATATAACCTATCTCTGTTCCAAATTTCATACAAATCTGTTGATTTTTTGCGTGGAAGAGAAGAACACATTCATTCATCATTACAGACTTTAACATTTGTAATAGTATCTTTGTTACTTAATCAGCCTAAACGGTTGGACCGATTGCAATGAAATTTGGTAAACGAGTAGGTTATATTCTAAGTTAACACATGTAACTTATTAATACCTACAACCGAAATTCTACCCACCTATTCGTTTAGTCTTTCATGAAACTTATCCAATATCAGTTTTTTTTTATTTAATTTAAAAGAGAAAAAATATTTACCTACCTGACACCTTTTAGTAGGCCAGAAATAGTAGTTTCTTGCTTGGAATACAATGAAGCCGTCTTTATAGTTTTATCACTAGATTCTTCAGTATCTGTGAAAAAATTATACTAATTAGCGGATTATGAAATTTAAATTAATCTGTCTTTCTATCACCTTCGTAACAACTAAAACCTGCAAAATTATGTTAACTATCAGAGTGTTTTGTCACAGTATTTTAAATTGAGGAATTTGTGTAAAAGAAGAAGACAAAACATTTTAATAGCTAAAAGAAATTTATGAAAGGTTTGACGTTTTAAGAATCATCATCATCATATGAGAATCAGCCTTTAACTGCCCACTGTTGAACACAAGCCTCACCCTTGGAGGGTTTTGCCAGTATTTGCCACGGTTGGCAGGTGGATTGGCAATATTTTTTGAATAAAGGAGTTTATTTACTCCTGTGTACAACCGCATATAGACAGTATAATTTATATACAGGTGAATTTGAATTTTTTGGAATCCTTTAAAGGCGTATTTTTTTATTTATTTATTCTTTATTGACCTTTACTTTATTGCAAAAAAAAATTTTGGTGTAAAAAGTGGAATTAATGCTACATAGTATTCTCTTCCAGTATTTTTTTTCTGGATAAAACAGAAATGTAATTATGTAGTGAAGAATATTAAACATTGTTTTGGGTAAATAGTTTCACATGTATTTATAGAATGTTCTACTAGAAATCTGAACATAATTTTTTTCAATATTTTTCTGTCTATATATTCATTTGCTGATATCAATAAATAGACCATAAACTGTATGAATACCTAGTAAACAGAACATACTATTCAATTAACCTTTTCCTTGGAAATAAATGTAATAAATTTCCATAATATTATATTTTTTTACTATAAACGTGACATTGTTGATTTTTTTCTTATATAATTGCAAATTTGTATACCTCGATAGATAGGGTTGATCATAGAGGACTTGTTTTACCATCCATTGTTACCTATGTATCACAATTTAAATAAATAAATAAAATAAACTTATGTGATATTCCAATTTATATAAGAAAATATCCTGGCACAGCTAGCATCATGAGACACAAACCTTTCATCCCCGTCAACTGAGGAACCGCCCTCAAACGGTATCCAACTATGAGACCATTGTGAGAATCAGCTGGAGGCGGTAGCCATTTGACCCTCAACTCTCCAGGTGTCTCTGTCTGTTCCAATTGAACTCCGAGTGGTGGTGATGATGGGGCTATAAAACATTTTAACGTAAGTAGAATAGAATAGTACTAAACAGAAGAACATTTATAAATTTATATTTTTGGTCTTAGAAACTCTTTTTGTCCGAATTTATCCTATATTTTACCAACTACAATTACTATCGATTTAAAAATTATAATGGTTTTAAAATATACTTTAATTAGAACAGTTTTTGAGAAGTTATACTTATTTACATCAAGGCAAATAACTTAGTACCTTTAGACTTAATCATGTTGTCTGGTTTCAAAACACATTTTTGGCCTAAAATAAGGAAATCTCAATCGTAACAATTTCAGTCTCTATTAATAAATGTTGACAATAGAGAATAAATGTTTAATGGAGCGTTTATAGTAATAGCTAACAATAACTCTATCAGTTTAATCCTCTTAATAGGGTAACTAAACCTGATTTTATTCTCACTACTTCTTTATCGTTCACAGATTTACGAGGACAGCGTAAATCAATAGTGCATGCGGGTTACCATTACATTTTAGTTCAATAAAAAATATAATGTAATTAATTTAATTTTGTCTGTTTAAAAATTGTCACAATATTGTACAGTGCTGTATCCGCTGACATTGATGCTACTTTCCACTTTGGGTTTGCTGGAAGAAAACTATCAGAGTTAAGCTCGCCTTTCTACTTTTGTTTACCTGTCATATTTTTATAACTAATGTGTACAATAAAGTATTAAATAAAATAACTCACCTTCCTCAGTGGTTGTAAATCTGACTGGAGAAGAATAATGACTAAGGTCCGCCTGGTTTCCACCGGCCACTCTTGCTGTGTATGCAGTGGCTGGCTGCAAATCCTCAATTTCTATTGAATGACGAATTTCTTCTAATCTAAAAGTGGAGTATTAGGCTACATTCGTAACATCAATCACGGTTCGTTCTCGGTCCAATCTCGGTCTTGTAAAATATTATCACGTAATAAACAATGTGTATATAAGAGCAAGATATTTTTTTCAAGTAAATTTAATTATTCATAATATTTGTTAAAGTCAATATTGTTATATATATATATATATATATATATATATATATATATATATATATATATATATATATATATATGCATGCGGCTCACCTGATGGTAGGTAAGTGTGTTGCCGGCCTTTTAAAAAGATATGATGAATATACTCTTTTCTTTTAGTCTAATTATATTTTAAATAAATAATAATAAAGTTTACATTATGTAAATATATCCAGTATTGCTTTATTTTTACTCTATTCAATAATACGTATTTCTCGGTTTGCGCAATGGTTGACTGGTAGAGAACACCATCCGGTGTTAAGTCCGTCAAATGTACATAAAATTTTACTGTGCATTAATTTTTAAATAAATAAATATTATTTTACCGGATCGAGATCGGATCGAGAACGTACCATGATCGACATTATAGTATAAATCTAACATAATTAAAATCGCATTTTTATCTAGCCTTATAGTTAATTACACATACTCAGCAAACAAACAGCATGCCCATACTGGAGAAGAATAGCACGGGATGGAAACTACTGGAAGGAGTTGTAGGAAGGTCCTAGCTACAAGACACTATGCTGCGCGATATATTATAATAAAGAAATATAATAGATAATTTTTAATTTTAATAAAGGCTTCTTTAACGTTATGGAAGATTGAAAGTTTAAATTTAAACTGAAATTAAATAAAATGAAAATTTTGCATTTATATTATAATCTACCTATAAAACACATTAGGTTCATTAAGGGACGGCGATAAAATTCGGTACTATAAAATTTTTATACATTTGAAATCCTGATTCAATTATTACGTATAATTCAATCAGAATCGGAAATGTGTCCAAAGTTATTAGATGTTACATTTTAAATTTTCCGTTAAGGAAAACTCTGCCGAGGGGAAGATTATTTAAAAATACAGATTATTTTCCAGAAAAGATATTAATTAATTAATGTCAAATAAAAAAGATAATGAATAAGATAAAAAGCAAAAATGGAAATATGTTGGAAACGGAGGAGTATTAGATTGACCTTTAAAATTAATTACTCTATGAGATAGAAGTCAATTTACATCAGAACTGAACACTTTTATTCTTATTTTTAAAACCTATTTTACCCATAGAAGTGTTTTGTCACTTTCGTACATATTGAGAATTAAAAAACAAAAAAACAGTTAAAATAGGTTTTTGAAAAGTTTGGGATGACGGGGGTTTGTTTTTAGCAAATAATGAAGTAAGAGATACGTATATGTCTGTGAACAGTTGCCCATAACACTAAATTGTCTCTATGTACGTAGTACAGTATGTAACTAAGAAAAAAGTGAATAACTTTATCAATAAAATCATAGTCAACTTTGATTCTCAAGAAAGCTAAAGCTTGATATATCTTGAGGGTTATAATATTACCTGTGATGTCATTACTAGGGTTGCCAATTGTACTATAATATATAGTATAGTTATAGATTATATAGATAGAGTGCCTCCAAAGAAATGTTTTGGGTCGAAAAACGGGTCAACTTTTTCATACAATTTTGCGTGATAAATATTTATGAGTGACTCCTTTATTACTTCTATATTTATTTTGTCTTATAAATTCTGCGTCTTTTTAATGCATAAATACTTATTTCATTGACTATAATAATATGTCAAGATACATTTTATGCGTGATATAGATATAGAATATCGATAGACAAAACGAGTCAAAAAAAGTTGACTCATTTTTGAGGCTCTATGCCCTATCTATATAATCTAAGAGTATTATATTACTATATACTTATTGAATTATTAAAAAGTATGCAAAAATAATTTATTTCTATTTATATCTATGATATAAAAAATGCAGGGAGCGATACTATCTAATATATGAATGGTTATTTTTTTATGATTTTTTTTTTTTAAATAAACAGATAACAAACATATAATTCTGTTTTTTAATCTTTCCATGATGCTGCATTTTTTTTAAATGTACTATACTTTTTTAACACTTGTTTAAAAAAAAAAACTATTATCAGCTGAAAAATTGTTGGCAACCCTAGTTATTACGTTACATCTAGTGGTCTCTCAGCTTGTTTGTTATTCTTAATGGTACAAAAGCGAGATATAATAAGTAAATGGTATTACCTTGTAATGTTAATAGTCCTAGCATTACTCCATGATATTCTCTGGCTATTTGTGATCTGCAAACAGTAATATTGAGCGAGAGATCTGGCCATATCCCTCCAGGATAACCTTACAGATCTGCTCTTGATTGAATCCACTGATAAATCCGAAGGTGGGGACGGTGGCTCTAAATGTAATAAACATAATACTTTTAGACTTGAAATTTAGAAACTATATACCAGGGGTAACCGACTTGACTAGACCTAAGATCTACTGTTTACTGATGAAACTCTGTGCGAACTACCAATTACACACTTCTTGAAATCTCAAATGAAACAATATAATTCACACAATTATGTAGTATTGTAGTATTTTTCATTCTATTAAGAGGGAAAACATGTAATTGAAAAATATTCTTAGTAAATACTTATTTATATTAGTGTGAGCATTGTTTATGAGCATCTTCCGCTAAATTAGCAAAATATATTTTTTGCCTTATCGCGATCGACTGGACTAATAGTCGCGGTCGACCGGTCGATCGCGATGGACCGGTTGGCCACCCTTGATTGTATATATATGCATACATATACATATAAAAAAGAGAATGCAACGTACAGTCGAAATCTTTTATATCGGTTTTACTCATGTGTTCATTTCGGGATTATCAAACAAGTGGACTGTATGCAACAATATAGTCATAAGCCGCGCTCATAAATAAGGACTCCTAACTAGTCAAGCAATTCTGAAATTAATATGTGAGTAAAGCCGATATAAATAACTGTAATATAGCAAGACTCACAATAACAATAATATTAAATAATTTGTATTCAAGTAAGTATTTCTGAATAATATTTTTTTTATAAATCTACCACCCACTTTGGAATGCATTTTCAGCTAAGAAGAATGGGCAAGAAACACAGCTGTTGTTTTTTTTTTAATAAAAGTTAAGTTTATATCAAAAATTTTTTTTTTTAATAAAAGTTAAGTTTATAACAAAAATATAAATGATAAAATGACTATCACAATCTTCGTATTGACAAAAAGAAAGTAAATAAAAAGCTACAAAGCTACAATTAATCAGAGTATTCTTGAATAGTCCGGTCCAAGAATTCTCTCTTTTACATTAATAACAATATATTATATTTATTATAAGAATATATTAAAATATTAATAGCAAAAGTTATTATTTAAAATTTTAGACTTAATAATATTATTTTTAATATTTTTATTAAGTAATTATCTTGAATTATGCAGTATTACAATTATTCGTACCAACTTTACTCACGTATTGCTTTTTTATTGTACATTGTAAACGTGTAGAACTACTTAGATGCTCTTAGCATTCCGAGAGCATTCTTAAGTTCCTTGATTGCATTCGTGAACATTGTACATTGTTATTGCGTAACTTTTATAGTATAGACGATAAACGTAGTATATTAAGTTTGTGATCTAAATAAAATTATACTTGAAACTCGTAATTTAAACCTATCTGATTTTATACTCTAGCTCTATTTTTTTATATTAAAAAAATTGTGTTATGCAAGATATCTATTTAGAGTACTTATAAATTCTCAGTAATTGTCTCTGACCTCCATGTTAGGAAAAATCCTATGTTATAAAGGTCAGGCTATCGTATTTTATATGTCTAATTTTCTTCGGTAAATTTAAAGAATTTTTAATACACAAAACTACAGAATTAAAGTTCAAATTGCAACAAAAATAACAATAATACTAATATGAATTGATATTATAAATTGACTGTGCTCACTTATATATTAAATATGAACTAAACTATGTATCTACATGTGGTATTAGTATTTAAAAGAAATAAGACAAGTGTACGTAGCATGAAAAGTGAAAGGTTGTAGACAATTATATGAGTGTGGTGAATAGATATGGTGAGTGTAAGTATAATGGTAGAATGTAAATTAAAATAATGTAATATGTTACCAGAGGGAGACATAGTACAAAAGTCATTTGCTTGGGCACCTCTGTCCCATTTATTTTTAAGCAATTACGTTTACATGGCTGTGTTTCGCTTTGAAGGGTGGAATATGGCAGTGAATTTACAGGGTACAGAGGAAGAACAGCTAAGTCCTCAGGAATGGCAATGCATGGGGAGTATCATGGGTGAAACAGTATACTCTGTTATGTTCATGGTACTGCTCATGTCTATAGGCGACGTTTACCACTTTCCATCAGGTGGGCCGTCAGCTTGTTTGCCATTCTAATTTGCAAAAAAAAAATGTATAACATAAGCTTTTGTATTTTTGGACTAATTTGCATAAAGAATTTAATTATAAACGTTCACGTTGTTGACACATATTTTAGACACATATTGTCCTGACCTGACCACGACGTGGTGCAATCCACGTCGAAATGTCGGGAATAAAAAAGCAAGTATGTAGGTACTATTTACTTGTAAATTTTTTCATCGAATTAAATCCCGACAGTGTATTTAAAATAAATATATTTAACACAATTATTGAAATTAAAATCAACTAAGTCGCTTCTTAAAATGTATACCTCTCTTTGTTTTATCTAACTCTAAAACTATTGAAGTATTTCAAAGTGCACTATCATTAAAAGTAATTAAGTATATATTGATCATATAATGAGGATCATACAAGAACAAACCAGAGGGAGACTTTGTACAAAAGTCGTTTGCTTGGACACCTCTATCCCATTCGTGCTTCTACCGTAAAGCAGTTGTGTTTGCATGACTGCGTTTCGGTTTGAAGCGTAGGATATGGCAGTGAATTTACAGGGCACAGAGGAATAACGTCTAAGTCCTCAGGAATGGCAACACATGGCACCGCTTATGTTTATAGCCGACGGTTACCACTTTCCATTAGGTGGGTCTTCAGCTTGTTCGCCACTTGCATAAAAAACCACTAGACAGTAACATTTTGTATTAAATTTAACGTGCCGTGCGGTTCCGGCATAGCATGAGCCACTCCTTCTTTTCTCGTAAGTAAGAGGCGACTAAGGGAATTTAATGTACAAGAGATATACAGCAGCGTCCTTCTTACCTAAAATATCATAAAAATCCTAAATGTGGTTGCCAACCCGCCTGCCAAGCATGGCAACTACTGGCAAAACTATCCTTATAACGGACACCTATGCTCAACAGTGGACAGATATGGTGATGATGATTAAATTTATACATTTGAAGTGATTCCACTGATATTACTTCAACAGCTCAGAAAAGAAAATGAACAATAATTTGCGAAACAGTACAAATGTTTTTGTATTCAGTAAAACCACTAAATTTGTCAAGAGATAGCAAAGCCGCTATTCCCGACTTGGGTGGCACTTAAAAGAAATAAAATTCATTACTTTCATTATAATGAGACACACAATATCTTCTTTTTCTTACAAAACTCTAGCGTATTACATGAAAAGGGTCTCATATTACAATTTGAACAAGGAATTTATTTCTTTAATGTTTTTTTCTCTTAAGTGTTTTATCATGATGCCAACAAATATATTAGAAATTCACAACATTGTATTTTTTTTTTCAGGGTCGATTCTTGCATGTGACACCTTTAGTGTCACATGCAAGAATAGGCTACAGTGACCGTTTACCATCAGATATGCTTGTTTGCTATCTTCGTGTTATAAAAAAAATCTTTTTAAGAAAAAAAAGCAGATACTATAATTATTTAACTATAATTATTTATTTATTATTATAATTAAATTATAATAAAATTATCATATGTCACGAACTACTAGATATTTCATAGACATATTAGGTTTAAAATATTTGAATTTTGAACATGGAATTGTGTAAATTTTGCTGAGCAATAAGCATTTTTCTGTATCACAAAGAAAATTACAGTTTTATTCATTACGCAAAATTAATATGACTAATACCGGAGTAAATATTATTGATCGTAAAAATAATTATCAAAATCGGGTAAAAATAAGTGATATAATTGCTCAACTATTATTAGTAATCTGGCCCGGCTATGCTGGGGTTGATACAATTTTAGAAAATAAGGTATAGCCTATATTACTCTCTGATAATGTAGCTTTTCGCATGTATAACAATTTTTAAAATCGGTTAATTAGTTTTAAGTTTATCCATTACAAACAAACAAACTGTAAAATCTTTTCTCTTTACAATATTAGTATATAGTGTTATCACAGTATCATATTATTTGTGGTGTTATATAGATTAGATAGTAATCAAGTAGGCAGTAGTTCATCATATGTATGTATAAATATATATATTTTTATATGCAGGTATTAATATATAAATACTATATTAATATATAAATACTATATTAATGTATGTATGTTTATTTTATGAATGTTTGTATGTATGTAATTATTGTCTTATACTAAAATATAAATAATTTTACTTTTTAAAGCGCCATCGTGTATCTCTGCACATCCTAAAGGTTGACTGGCAGAGAACGCCTATAGTATTAAGTCCGGCTTTTGTACCATATTTATTTGGTCAATAAAGTTTATATACATAAATATAATTATAATGTAGCGTCTGTACAGACAGTGACAATAAATATTGGCGGTTGACTGTTACTAGAATTTAGTTGTGTAGTAAACTACGCTGGCTTCCAGCCAAGAGCTAGTAGATACATATTTATTATAGCTTTTAAAAAAGTTGCTGTTCGTTTAATAACTTTTAAAAGGTCTTACTTAGTAAAGACCCATAATTAATTAAAAAGGTTAATTAATAAACTTAAAGCATAAAAGACACAACACTGTCTGTAGTCTAAAGAATTCTAAAATATTTTATATAGAATTAACTTTTTTGGAATTTTTGAGGCTTTTAGATGTTTATAATTTAAAAGAAAATTATTTTTGTGTGTGTGCGTGCGTGCGTGTGTGTGTGTGTGTGTGTGTGTGTGTGTGAGAGAGAGAGAGAGAGAGAGAGAGAAAGAGAAAGAAAGAGGAGAAAATATGCATGTTTTATTCGTATATTTTATGAAAAAATATATTTGTTATTGCATTACTTTATTAATTAATTATTATTAGTGAATAATAATAACATCAAACAAGTTAGGATCTCTAATATTTTTGAATTTATTATATTTTTTCAGTTTTAATTTCGTAAAGTCTTTATTAATTCATTAGTAAATATATTATTTTTAAAATAAATTCATTATTCTTATATATAATTAAGAGTTCCTAAAAAAATACTCACCTAAAATGGTAAGATGAACACTATATACGTCTGCTCCGAAAGGATTACCAGCCCTGCACTGATATAAGGCACCATCACTTGTTTCTGTTTGTAATAACTCCAATGTACTCGACATTCCGTCTTCTGATTTTGTTTCTGACATCTTCACCCTAGATATATAGAAAATATTTTAAATATATATAACTTATTTTACTAATAAAAAAAAAAATAACTAGAGCTTGTACATGGCTGATATTTAAGAAAAAATAATTTGAGAGGGTTATAAAGACTAATAAGTATCAAAGCAATATTTTTTCCAAATTTTCTTTGTCTGTTTGTTTCGATCTAATATAGTAGAAAGTATCAATAGAAATTCTGTAATCATTTTAAATGGAAATTGCATTTTGTAAAAAGTCCATTGAGTCGTTCTTTAATCTTACCTTTGGGTCAGGGGATTAATGGGTTTTCCATTTCTGGTCCACATTATCCTTATAGGATCGTCGCCTTTCGCCAGGCACTCTATCGTCACATGCTGACCAAGTTTAGACGTTATGTTCCTTGATACTATGTCGAATGTTACTGGTTCTGTAAAGTTATTTATTCTTATAATTCTATTTCATTTATTTATTTATTTATACTTTATTGTATACATTAAGAAGATTATATATAAAGAACTTTGACAGTGGAGAACAAATATACAAAGGCGAGCTTGACTCTACATGAATTCTCTTCCAACAAACCTAAAGTGGAAAGCAGTATTAATGTCAACGAGTATACAACATTGTGACAACTTACAAACAAAAGTTAATTCTATCGTATTTTGTATTTTGGTTAGAGTACACTCTGTAGGTATTTTCTTTTAAGTTACTATAATATAAGATTTTTTTATGTCGTCCTACATTACGCTTATTCGTGGACTTTAGTTTGGAATTGTAATCCGTATTATATGTTACTATATTCCATTTGAATTCTTCAATTGTCATTGTATATTTTTATATTTCTGGTGCAATAAAGAGTTAAATAAATAAATTGTTGGTGTTATGACAAATGCGACTAATCCACTGCCATATCTTTTTTCTTCTTCTTCTTTCTTTCTTCATATCAATTTGCAGATTCGTTAGTTGGATTATTACTCTTCTCTGAAGAAGGGATTATAATAATAATGGGAGTTTTGGCGATTTATTTGTTAGAAATATAGACTACTTGGTCGATCACCACGTGGTTCCTCTTGGAAATCATCGTGGCTAAATTCTGACAAATTTACCACTTTTGTTCAACTGATTTGTTTTTATCCTTGTTTATCATCATTCATAAGTGCCTAGTCAGCATATACAGACAGTACAAGCGAGTAATCGTTCCATTTTTATTTAAAAAAATCTCCTCCAGTGATGGAAAAGCCACCAATGGAGTAATTATGGGATTGATTATCTTACTAATATAACAAAATTGTAACTAGATGCTGTCTGTACATGGGAGTTATTTTAAAGAAATTTTGAAGTGTCTCAATGAGAGACAATAGAAGCCCAAAATAATATTTTTTAAAAATTTTGTCTGTCTGTATGTTTGTTCCGCTATCACGCAAAAACTATTACACCAAATTAGATGTAATTATCACAGTTGTATTTCTAAAGATCTAACTAAAAACAGTTGTTTGTTTTATCTTGATACACCATTTAGAAGTGACCTATTCGTATTTAATTGATTTTCCAACTTCTGAGGGTCTACCATGAAATGAAATTCCGACTTTTCGGACTCAAAAATCAACTCAATTTTGTTTATACCTAAATGGGCCCAGTAAATGAAGTAAATTAACATTTCGTTCGTCATGAATCCTAGCGTAATAGTCCTGTGTTTATGTTTGATATTTAATATTTTTAAACAGCATGGACCATTATGTAATTTAAACATTAAATCTGTGTTTCGTTCGGCCTCGAAATTTTAGAAAATATTTCATGGTAGGCTTTTTGAAATCCACGTCTACAAAGTAGCAACCAAGAAGCTTCTAGTACAACATATTCGAATGGTATAACATATTCAGATCTATACTTACTATTAACTGATATCCATATAGTCTTACTAAGTGCTTCACCGACCCCGTTTTCAACATGGCAGGTATAGATTCCTCCATCAGACAGTGCAACAGAATCGAATATTAACGATCCATTGGACAAGCTGAGAACTCCACCGCCAGCCACTTCTAACACTGGCCTCCAAGTCTCTGATACGACTGAAACAAATATGTACTTCGCAAATTAAAAAAACAGATTTGCAAGAAACGAATATATTAAATAAAAAATTGTTAGTTTGACGGGATAATTAAGGATTTTAATGATACATCTTTAGATTATATAGAAAGAGTGACTCCATGGAAATGCTTCGAGAAAAACGGGTAAACTTTTTCGAATAATTTTGCGTGATAAATAGTTATGAAAGGTTCCTTTATAATTTTGTCTAATAATTTTTACATGTTTTTAATGCGTAAATACTCGTTTTATTTATTAATTATACTTCAAGACACATTTTATGCGTAAATATATAGAACACTAATAAAACCCGTGACCCGTATTCGAGGCTCGATGCTCTATCTACATAAACTAAGGATACATCACACTTTTGCATTTTTGATACATTTAAAAGTTATGTTGGAATAATGAAACATTAAATCCTTATATTACATACCTTTTTTAATCAGTCGAATAAATATATTTTTTATTAATCTTTTTTTTTACTTATTTAATTATGCTTGTTTAGTATAAACGAAAACATTTTATTTGGAGTGTGTAAAACAAGATATTAACTATTCTAATAAAAAATTAATTTTGATAAAAATTATTATTAATCTCTTAATAAAATCAAAACATTGTTAATAATAACAAATAGTACAAATTTAACACTGCTCATTTCCCGCCAAACTTAGATTTTTTTTTATTAATTTAATCTTATAAAGTAAGACAAAGGCAGTGGTAAAATACAGCTATACGATTATGCCTGATGTTATAATTACATTAATTAAACGGATCAATTGTAGGGTCACCATAAGTTTTTTTTTTTTGCGTTCGAAGCGACGGTAGAACACGACGATTTAATTTTTCTTTACCAGCAGCGCCCTCAACGAATAAATGTTTAAACTTAATGTCGATAAAACAGTGCCAGAGTATAGGTAAAGAGGTATACAAGGGGCATTCAAAGAAATTGAGTGAGTTTATATTTTAAAATATTTGGAAATTTAAAATTAATAGATTTAAAGCGACCGCAATTATTATTTATTTATTTATTATTACCTGCAGTTTACAGACGACCAAACTCCAATACACTACAGGTAATAAAATTTTTTGTACATGTCAAGTTATTTACAATAATTAATACTAATAATTAACTATAAAAGATTACGATTATATTCAATTTTAATAAAATTAATTTACTAAAAAAATTCTTCATTAAACACAAAAAAAAAAATATGTTTATAAGTACGAAACTAACGATATGTTTGTTTCGCGCCAAAACCATAATTCTTTTCTATTCACCCCAGCACATACGTCAAGCGAGTCTAGCTACAAGATCATTTCAAGAAGTGAAAATTTCTAAAGTGGATTTTCGTGTTGGAACTTTTCAACTATCTACACTACAACGATTGAAAATTCAGTTAAATTTAACTTTAAGTGTGAATGCATGTCATACCGTCTCTTTTTAACCAGTGTGTCTGAGGTTGCGGGTATCCATTGGCGCTGCATGATATATGACCACTTCTTCCCAACAGTAAAGAAGTGTTTTGTGGTTCTTCGCTCCATTTAGGAGCAACTGTGGAAGAAAAATGCTGTTAACTGTCTTTTTATATATGTATATATAAATTTTAAGAGTTGTCGTCAAGCATATTTCAAGTCCTAGATTTTGGATAGTACAGAGTAAATAAGTTTAAAGACTGTTTCTGAATTTAGTCAGATACCCTAATTAAACTATTATATGTTAACACTGAACATTTTTTTAAATCTAGCCATTTTCAAGGTAAAATCTAACGCATTTATGAGTGAATACAATTTAATTTTAATTTACATAGAAAGATTATTCGGATAGATAAGTACATAGATTTATCAAAAGTACTTATATAAACAATATTAAAATACTTGTTTAACAAAAGATGTGTTAAATATATATCTAATTAATAATATTATAAATATAAAAGTAAAGTGTGTTTGTTACCACTTGGCGTCTTAAGTCATAGGTAAACACTAGTTATAGATATACTTAAAATATATATTATATACTGTATAATACTATCTGATGTTTCCGATCGTTACCTTTTATATACAAGTTTACAGTTCGGTTCACTTTTGCCACATGATTGGCTGCAACACAAGTATATGTACCGCAGTGCTCCAGTGAAACATTCTTTATTATAAGAACACTAAATACTTCTAAGCTTCGTTCTACGATCTGAAAATAAATGTCTACATATAGTTTATAATATATTAATACAGGTAGTCATAAAAAAAAAAACTAAATAAAAAAGGTACAAATATATTTGGACCGTCTAAATATTTTGCTGAACACATTTTTTTGTTTATGGCTACACTGTTTCTATATTTGAATTTCAAATTTACACATAGTTTCGCTCTTTGTAATTACCTAGTAACATGATAAAATATTTTTTATTTTTTATTCTACCTGTGGGTAGTGTTTGACTTATTTCATTTGCAAAATAAACATTTTTCATATTTTATTAAGTGGAGCTTTGTATATCATGTCTAGTATCCTATATTAGATATTTAGGTTGGATCCACACTATAGTTCTCGGTCCGCTCTCGCTCTGCGCTCGATATAGTCAGTACAAGCAGTTCGAGATTGATCGGAACGACACTGGATTATAGTCTGAATATACATTACTTGTTACGTAATAATAATATGTTTACGTATTAATAGGTGTAGCACTTCATCTGCCTGCTAACGAAATGCTTTCTCACTGTGTTGGGTTGACTGGAAGAGATCTCTGTCAGAGATAAGTCCACCCTTTCTCACAACATTTATAAATACATTATTTTATATGTAACATAAAGAATATATATAATATTTTATCAGACCGAAAGCGGTATTATAGTTTGGATCCGGCCTTAGTAATAATCCAAAACTTGAAATTTTATATCTTAGATAATGCAATGATTTTGGTACTTGTTAGTTATAAAATTAATTTTAAATTATATTAAAGTGAACCGGTATGAGTACTTTTGTCTAATAATAATAATTATTATTACATCAGCCATTAACTGTCCACTGTTGAAGACAGGCTTCTCCTATTGGGGGATTTTGCCAGTAGTTGCCACGCTTGATAGGCGGGTTGGCAGCCGCAGTTAGCCTTTGGCGATGTTTCAAGAGGCTGCTATTTATCTCTCGACCATAATGTAATAATATATTAAAAAAAATCATTTATTATTATTATTGAAATCTGTATTAATAAATTTTCGTAACATTTTTAGTACAAATTATATATATCTATTAATTTAAAGGTTGCGTTTTATAATTTCTTTTCCGCGTTAAAACATTACTGTATTTCTTTTTAAATAGGTATAGTAAAATATGATCTACTTTTAAACGTAAAAAGATATCACTTACTTTTAAATGTGTGGGTATTTTCTTCCCGTCTTTCAGCCAGGAATAATATACAGGGGAGTCGCCACTTTTGAGGTTACAATGTATTTGTACTATCTGCCCTTCTTGCAGGTCCGAGGCCAGCAATATTTCTTCCAACTGCGGTGGCTCGACTACGTGTAATTCAAACGATCTTTTGGCCATTTCTCCAGAAGGGCTCCTAACTACGCAAGCGTATGATGCACCATTGTCACTTTTTGTAACTTTAGCTATATTTAAAATACCATCATTGACTGTGGCCAATTCTCTTTTCCCTCTTAATTTAGGTTTGCGTCCAAATATTTCTATACTCAACGCCGTATTCTTCACAAAACGCTTAAAACGATTCGCTTGTGTAGATATGTCAGTGTTTATCTCTTTACCTTTATATTCCCATGTTATTTCTCTGAAAAACAATTATTCTTTGGGCATGGTTTTATTTTAAACTTTGCATTAAATTTAGTTCTAGGAATTTTATAAGGTAAAATCTTGTAGTGATTCCTTGTGTGTCGCGTAGAAAACTTCTTGAAAATTTTCAACTATAAAGCTGAGAAGGTGACTTGAATTTCGGTTAATTTCGTCGCAGACGGTAAATTTACTGAACTACTTAATGAAAATTGTTTAAGTATATTAGAAAATTAAAATACCTTACTGGGTATCCGTAGTAAGGACACTTGAGTGTGACACTTTGACCACTTTGTACTTTAAACGGTGGCAGTGTTCGAATGTACGGTGGACCTACGGAAATAAATATATTTAGAAGAATAGAAGAATCTATTCTATTCTAATATATTTTAGAATAATAATATTAATAAAAATGTTAAAACATTATGTATTATAAAAAAAAATTACATGTTTAGGTTTTTGATACAACTTAGAATGGTAAACAAGCTGACGTCCCACCTGATGGAAAGCGATAACTATCTCCTATAGAATATTATATTATCTATGACAGATGGACATAACAGATATCTTTACCGATATATCATTATGATATTTGGTACACATGTACAATATGGAATGGAGAAATAGAAATATAGCCAATAAACACGTGCCGGTTACGTGGAAAAAGCCATAGGTAAAGGTTTGGAGTAAATATGTTTAAAATAGTTTGAAATTTACTCGTAAATAATTATGTTCTTCGAATTCATAATTAATCGAATTATACATTCTGTGAATTTGTCAATATTATAATTAATATTAATTGAAATAATGAAAAATAAATTCTTTTGCAAGGGTAAGTATGGACGTCTATTTCATTTATGATTCAGATGCCAAGCAGCTATACATATAAGGCTGTGTTTTGTATGAATTGAATTAATTGAAATAAAATTTCCAGTATATTTAATACCCTATACTTCAGTAGTAATAACATACTGCGCGGTTTCAGAAATGTTTCCTCCCACGAACACTCAGGTTGTGGAATGAGCTCCCTGCCGAGGTTTTCCCAAGAGACTACAGCATGGGGTTCTTCAAAAGGGGGTAAAGAAGTTTCTTCAGGGTCGGCAACGCACGCGTAATATCTCTGGTATTGTAGGTGTTCATAAGCTACGGTAACCACTTCCCATCAGGTGGGCCGTATGCTTGTTTGCCACCTCAACTGGTATTAAAAAAATATATAAAAAAATACCATGGACGTTACAATATTTAGTAAAGCCCATAGTACTGTTCTCATCAACAAACTCATTATTCGATGAGCGATGGCTCAAAAGAAGCAATAAAGCAGTAACCAAACCAATAATTTACTTTAAAAAATAACTTGGAATGGCAAACAAGCTCGTTTGTTATCTCATATTGTATAAAAAATCTAACATTTTTATTAGTGAATAGAGAAAGATGGAGTCGGTATCAATATTTCAGAAATATCATTTTATAACTCCATCTCTAAAATAAATAAAATATAAAGGCATAAAATTTTAGATTTCGCTATGACAATTTCAGAACATCAATAAAAACATCATGTCCCAGAAACGACAAAACCAAAGTTTTTAAAAGCTATACAGTGTTACAAATAATTGGTTTGTTGTTTTGTAAGTGTGTCGTTTGATCTCCATATAAATAGATTTATGTTTAAACATAAGAAGTTAAAAAATAAATTATTCAAAATCTATTTTTATTTTCTCCAATATGATATTCCTTTGAAACTTTAGATTTACTGAACATCGTTGGCAATAATATAAAGTCAAATTATTTTATAATAACTCACGTATTCTTTTTTCTTAAGTAAATATGATTAAAAAATTGTTAATTCAGCGAGTATTGACGCCAAAGCTCATGTATGGAAGCGAATCGTGGGTATGGCAGAAGAAGCATGAAAGTAAGATAAATGCTGTACAGATGAGAGCTTTGAGAAGTATGTGTGGTATTACATTAAAAGATAGAGTAAGAAACAGTGTGATTAGAGAGAAGTGTGGACAGAAAGACGAGGTAGTGACAAAAATCGAAAAGGGAAAGTTGATTTGGCCATTTGGAGAGGATGGATGAAAGAAGAATTACAAAAGAGATTTATCAAGCAAGAATGAATGGATATGTTGGTAGGAATCAAGGACATAGGTCGACTAAATAGGCGACGTACTGAAGAAGGGCTAAATTAAAAGTACCCGTAACCAGCGAGCGTGTTTGAAAAGATTGATGAATGTGGAAGAAGCGAAAGAGATTTGTTTAAATCTAAGCATTTGACGTTCCATTGTTTCTGCCTACCCTAATGGGAGACAGGTGTGACAGTAATTGTAAAGAAATAGCAATTTTAATGTAATGTGATAGAGTATTCTTTTGCTAAAATTAGAATAACAGAAATAGATTTTGTTTCATAACAAGGATTGCTTTTATACAAGGATTATTCCTGGTAATAATTCCAATATTATCTTCAGTCTATGTTAATAAGAAAATGTTCTCAGAAATAGAATTGTACGGAAGAATAACCTTTTAGTAGGGAAATACTAGCAAGTATTAAAAAAGACATAATACTTCCTGAAGAGAAATAACAAAGTAGGATGAGACAGGTGTATCCTGAATCCACACTAATACATATTACTAATATTATATATGTTATTAGGACGGATGGTTGTGACTGTTTCACGCTTAAAAGGATGAACAGATTTGAATTAAATTTGATACACGGGTAAGTTAAACCCTTACTTAATATATAGGATAGGGGGGAAGGATAGTTAGTAACGTGGATTACTAGTCCCATTGCTAGCAATATACCCGGTCAGGTTGACCTCCCCATAGTTTCCTCTGGAAACCGTCGTGCTGAATCCCAGGTGTGTTTATTCCGATGGGTCTGTCATCCCACACTGGTGCCCCGCCAGTGTATATAGTGAGTGTAGGCGGGATTGCCATTCTATTATCATCCATTAAAAAAATATATATATAGGATAGGTAGTTTATGTACTGACTGACGAGAGTGAAGCCGTGTGACATAGCTAGGATTATAAATAGAAAAGTGAGTTTGCTTGTCTATCTCTTGACCTCATAACAGCCTACGATCGATCGAACGATATGATCATGAAATTTAAAAGGATATAAACTATTTTTATTCCGGTTAATTAATATATTGTGGTCTTGCGAACGAATTCGCAGGTAAAAACTGTACTTACCATAAACATTAAGCCTGTCATGGTGTGCTATCACGTTCTCGCCATGGTGTGCTACACATGAATACAGGCCGCCATCGTCGACCCGCAAATGTGTAATATTTAGTTGGGTGATTACTCCCCCATCGGGGGACATGGTTTGACCTATGGCATACCTATGGAAAAAAAATTGTTCAATAATATAAGATTATCTAGTTATATCTATAAAGTTTAAAAGAAAAAAGAAACTTAACAGTTTCTCTTTTAAATATCCGTTAACATATACAATAAAGAATAAATAAATTAATATATATGTAACAACCATGCACGTTTCTCATTAAAATAATATATATATATATATATATATATATATATATATATATATGCGTATTCCAATAAAAGACCTATTAACTTTTTCTAAACGATACTTCGGAACTAAATTTATATTTATGTCTAGTAAAAGCTATACAGTTCTGAATAAATACGTCACGATGAATAAACTATATCCTTATCGATCATAATGTTTTAGTGTCCCGTCATTGCATATTATTAATATAGGAAGATATCTACCTATTATAATATCTACTATGATATAATGCATCTGCATTATATCACATACATCCTTGAAAAATTTCTCACTTGTTGTCGCTTCCGGTGATTTCAACTGGAAACGTGGTGGTGGGGCATAAGATGGCCGCTCAAATGTACACTTTAAAAACGAAAAAGGGCTGTATCGTCGAGGAGACGAGACAGTTCGGAGGTGTTCTTAATCCATACAATTATATATCTCAATATATTTAATAATTAGTAGAATTAGATTAAGTTTTTCTATTTCCAATGTATTATAATTATAAACATAAATTAAAAGGTGCAAGCATGATATTATAAGTGTTAATAATCGGTGTGTTTATAATTCCCTCTTATACACTCTTTAAACAACCATACACTTACATTCTTATTCATTGCCTTTGAATAATTGAGTAAATATCCTTATTTCTTTAACTGGATCATTCATATATCTTTAGATACATTCGTGTCTCTAGAGGCCTCGCAAAATTTATTTTACCCACATAAAATTAAGGTTTTACTCTAGTCGAGCCTGATAGGCGCTGTCTGTTTCCGGTGTTTCTGGGAGGAGGGAGTGGGGGAATGGAGGCGGTGTCAATTCAGAAAAGATCACAGTAAAGTAAAGGATTACTTTAATAATACACATACGAGTATATACTATTGCATATCGATCCTAATTCTAACCTAATTCTTAACTGTGATTTATAAGTGCAGTACGAAATTGTACTGCAGTACAAAAAAACATCAATGGCAATGGATTGATATCGATATTAAATTCAAGTGTAATCCTGCTATTTTTTTTTTTATTTATTCTTTAATTGAGCAGAAAATTGTAGACGCTTTTTATTTTGTATATTATTTTTTCTTTTTTGTTCGTTTTGTACTTGCTTTTTATGCTACTGTGTGAGTTGCATGAATGATTCTTTGATTAAATTCTTTCTTTCTTTATGCATGTATCACTGATAATAATGTATTAAGTCAATAATTTATTTCTTTTACTTCTTTTTTTACTAGTAATCTACCTTGGTTTCGGACGGCATGAATGGAAAGATATATTTACTGTTTCATATTAGTTGTAATAGTCGAAAATTTAATACCTTGGGTTTCATTGTTATAATAGGGTTACATAAGTTGTGTAAGATTCTAAGTTTTTTTTTTTTTTAATTATTAGCAAAGGCCACGTACTACTAAGTTTGACCTATTTAATTGTCTTCAACGATGTGGGCATGCAAATATCTGATATAATTTTATGTTATTATATCTGATATAATAAATTATCATTACATATTAAAAATTAAATGAATGTTGCATCGTTATACATTATGTCACTTATATAATATATATAAGTAATACATATAATATATAACCTATTATGTTCATCATATCAGCCTTTAACTGTCCACTATTAAACATAAGCCTCCCACTTGGGGGTTTTGCCGGTAGTTGCCACGTCTGGCAGGCGGATTGGCAACCTCAGTTAGGCTTTGGAAATGTTTTATAACCTATGTTACTCGCTAAAAATTGGGTTGTATCTAAGACGACATTGCTATTAACTTATTTCCTAATCTAATATTTTAATTTAATAGTTTTGCAAAATTACAGTTTTATAAACTATTATAAACTAAAATTATAATATGTTTTATTTAATTCCATTAGAAATTTAGTTCAAATACATCCTTGAAATAAATATTTGGCTACGATATCAAATTTAAATTTTCGAGAGGTTTAGAGAATTAGCGCCTTAAAACTAATTTCAATATAGCTTTCTAAGATGAAAGATTTTACAAAATTGGTTGTGTAGTTTTTGAATTTATTGATAACAAAGAAATAAACAAACAAATATCAAATCTATCCTCTTTATTTACATATCTGTATTTATATGCTCATCAAATTCCTGTCGTCCAGTTTAATATAAACATATCCTATTTAAATAATTTTGACCCCACACGTAAACGAAACCCACAACTGCTTGAAATGCAGTAACTCCATATGCTTACACTGATTATGAATACTCATATTATTATAAATTGATTCACTTACACAAGTAAAACAGTTCGCATAAAATAATTGGAAATTTTACCTCGAATCGGTGTTAGAGGAGATAACAAGACCGTCCCTCTCCCAGATGAATCTAGCTGGATGAGGTCCGTTCACCGTACAATGTAGACTCACCTGCACCAAAATAAACTTTATTACATTAGCCATAAAGTTAATAATATACCGCGCTCACTTACGATTCCTTCCCTTTATAATTACATTTGAGATTCATGAAACGAGACTGTATAATGATGGTAATAAAATTCAATGTCGATTTAAAATGGTTTTGGTCAAAATTGGTTGATGTGTACAGTGAGCATTGCGGCTTCGGTTCTGAGCATACGGCTTTTGTTAAATTTGATAATAATTTTACCTTTGTCTAATATTTAATATTTTATTACAATTTTGTATTTCAAAATTTAAATTTAAAATTTTGTTCTCTATATATCTCATCTCATGTATATCTAGAATTATTAAAAATAAAAGATAAAACTTAAATAAGTATAAAATTAAATACAAAGTGATATAAAAACAATTTATATTATTATAATAAATGTAATTAAATAATAATGTATAACAAACTTATAAATAATATGAAACAATTTTTGTTTTATCTGTTTGTGATTATTTCACTGCTTTCTTCTTCCAAAGAATGCAATGAATTTTGATACGAGTTTCACTGTCATTTAAAAATTTATAAGGAAATATCATTCCATATTCATATGGACTGATACTTCCTTATACATTTTACATATATGGATTAATGCTTAAACATTTACTTTAACCAGAGCGGGACTATACCGGCAGTATACCGGCAGTAGTCCTAAAGCAGTGTGCTCCGGAATTGTGTCCTGTATTAACGCGTCTCTTCACGATCTCGTACTCCACAGGGCAATTTCCTTCGACATGGAAGATCACCCTTGTACATCCTGTACCTAAAAAGGGCGATAAGTCGGACCCTTCAAATTACAGACCGATTGCGATCGCTTCCCTTCTCTCTAAGGTGATGGAGCGTATAGTTAACGCACAGCTGTTAAAATACCTAGAGGATCACGATTTATTGAGTGACCGCCAATATGGCTTTCGCCATAGTCGCTCAACTGATGACCTCTTGGTATATCTTACGCACCGATGGGCATCAGCCATTGAGAGTCAAGGTGAGGCGCTCGCTGTCGGTCTTGATATTGCAAAGGCATTTGACCGGGTCTGGCATCGGGGTCTTCTATCGAAATTGCCTTACTATGGACTTCCCGACAGCCTCTGTAAATGGGTCGCCAGTTTTTTATCCGGCAGACGTATAAAAACCGTTGTAGATGGTTGCTGCTCCGATAGCATGGATATTAACGCTGGCGTCCCGCAGGGTTCTGTGCTGTCCCCAACGCTGTTTCTACTGCATATTAATGATATGTTAACCTTCGGTAGCATTCATTGTTATGCGGATGACAGCACCGGGGATGCCCTTTATACGGGTCGTACCAATGTCTCCCGTTCCATCGTGGAGAACAATTGTGAACAGCTTGTGTCTGAAATCGAGAGAACACTAACTGGAGTCTCTGATTGGGGACGACAAAACTTGGTCCAATTTAACCCCTCTAAGACACAAACTTGCGCGTTCACCGCTAAAAAAACCCCATTTGCTGTGGCCCTACAGTTCCAAGGCACGTCTCTTAACATCTCTAAAAGCATTGGGATCCTTGGTGTCGACATCTCTAGTGACGTACAGTTCCGTGGCCACCTCGAAGATAAGGTGAAGCTGGCATCCAAAAAACTCGGTGTGCTCAACAGAGCGAAGCATTACTTCACGCCGGATCAGCGATTAATGCTTTACAAATCGCAAATCCGGCCCCATATGGAGTATTGCTGTCACTTATGGGCGGGAGCACCTAGATACCAGCTTGAACCCTTCGACTCAGTGCAAAGACGAGCTATGAGAATTGTCGATGATCCCATGCTTGCAAGCGGTATCGAACCCTTAAGTCTTAGGAGAGATTTTGCCTCACTCTGCGTGTTCTACCGCTTATACAACGGATTGTGCTCAGAGGAATTATTCAATATGATGCCTACGGCCACTTTCTATCATCGTACGGCTCGCCATCGACAGGGAGTTCACCCTCATACCTTACAGCCTAAATGGTCGCGTACAACGCTGTTTCAGAGATGCTTTCTCCCACGAACACTCAGGTTATGGAATGAGCTCCCTGCCGAGGTTTTCCCGAGAGACTACAGCATGGGGTTATTCAAAAGGGGGGTAAAGAGGTTTCTTCAGGGTTAATACCTCTGGTATTGCAGGCGTTCATAGGCTACGGTAACCGCTTACCATCAGGTGGGCCGTATGCTTGTTTGCCACCTCAGTGGTATAAAAAAAAAAACTATGTACAAAAGTCTTCTGCTTGAGTACCTCTGTCCAATTCGTCCTTTTGCCGTGAAGCAGTTATGTTTGCATGGTTGTGTTTCAATTTAAAGGATGGGATATGGTAATGACTTTACAAGGTACACAGTTATAACTCCTTACTCCTCAGGAAAGGCATGGGGCGTATCATGAGCCATGAAATAGTATACTCTATTATGCCCATAGTATTGCTCATGTCTATAGGCGACAGTTACCACTTTCCATTAGGTGAGTCGTCAGCTTGTTTACCAATCTAAAGTAAATAAAAAACCTTTCTTTTTTATGGAAGTTATACATGCAGTACAATTTACACCCATACAAAGTCTGAGCAGGTTGCGTGTATAATATAATTTCTTTCGCAATTTATAAAGCTGATGACCCAGTAACTTTCCACACCGGAAACCGGACGGGGCCACCCTTAAATGAGTCGTAAGAAGTCATAATAAATCATTAGGGTAAGACACTCTGAACAACACAATTCAGAACTTGACCAGACAAACTATAATAATGTTTTGTAGATGAGTTTAAAATTATTTAAAAAAAAAATATCTTTGAAATAGTCTCCTCATCATTACCATAATTTCAGCCGTTAATTGTCCACTATTTAGCACAGATTTCCCCCATAAACTATCCCTTTAATGAAGTGCCGCGTTTGTGATTCATTGTTAATTCCAAAGTCTGCTTTTTGTACGATACTTTATTTTGTTCAATTATTTAAATAAATAAATTGTATTTATTTATTTAAATAATTATTTAATTAAATAAATACAATAATAATAATAGTAATAAACTCTTTATTGCGCACAGTAGAGATGTATACAAGGAGTATTTATACAGAATGTGCATATACAATAACTTATCGCTGCATCTCTTACAATGCGTAAAGAATAGAGTGCAGAGAGAAAGGTTTGAATGGAACTACCAGTAAACATTATGACATGCGCAGTTTAAATAGGACTATCATTATTTATATATTTCATATATAGTGTGAACTCAAAATCAATAACGTACGATAAAATTAAGAATCTGCTCATGCTATAAAAAGCGGTAGCCAGCCGGTCAATCTTGGCTATTAGTCTTGTGGATTGTGGCAATAAATATACTTTTTTTATGCGACTTAGAATGGCAAGCAAGCTAATGATCCACCTGATGGAAAGTGGTAACCGTCGCCTATAGACATGAGCAGTACCATGGACATGGACAGAGAATACTGTTTCGCCCATGATACCTCCCATTCGTTGCCATTCCTGAGAACTCAAGTGTTAATCATCTGTACTCTGTAAATTTACCGCCATATCCCACTTTTCAAACCGAAACACAGCCATGCAAACACAACTGCTTTACGGTTGAAATATAAATGGAACAGAGGTGCATAAGCAAACAACTTTTGTACAAAGTCTCCCTCTGGTAACCCAATAATATAACATATTAGTACCCAGGAATATCAAATCATGAGGGGTACTATGCACATAATATAGTATATTCTGTTATGTCTATTCATTTCTATAAGCGATTGATACTATTTTCTATCAGGTGGATTTTCAGATTTTTTGCCATTCTAAGTGTTACAAAAGATAGACAGATATATATACTTTATTTTCATTACTTACAGCACACAAATAATAATAGATATAGATACATACGCAAAAAAATAAATCAAAGAAAAATAAATAATAGACATGTAAAAAAAACATAGTACAGACTGCATAACGTAATCACTAACTATTTATAACATAAATTTTTACTCACATCAACTCCAGGCATAACATTGGATTCAGTGAAGTGCTGTGTTATAACCATTTGTAGACTTCTTGTGTAACGATACCTCCTTGTATATGATTCTGCAATTAAAACTCAATGTCATCATCGAATATTATTACTAACTGTACTATTTAGCATATGTTGTATATTGTTGTTGTATCGCCCACTAGCTGTCCCCTGCTGAACATAGACTCCCCCATAAGGAGGATTTTATCAGAAGTTGCCATGTTTGGAAGGCGGATTGGCAACCGCAATTTGACCTTTAGTGATGTTTTAAGAGGGACACTGCTGTCTATCCCTTCACCATAAGCTTCCTTAGTCACCTCTTACGACACCCACGAGAAAGGGAAGCGTGGCCTATTCTATGCCAAGATCTAGACGGCAATTTTATCATATAGGATGGATGATCTTTTGGAGGAAACAATAGAGTATCTATCTATCTATCTATTTATAGGATACTTTATTCAAATTCACGCGGGCGGAACCGCGCGATATAATTACTATAATAATACATTAAAACTTTCAACTTACCGTCAAAATTTCCAGTCCAATAGTCAAACATATCATGCGGATCCCTCAAAACTGAAATTGACCTGTAAAAAATAACAATAACAAAAATTTTAAGTGAGATTTAATCTGTTTTCTCTTGCTACTTTAGGTAGGCAATGAACTTGGAATAATACGAGTATAATTAATTAAAGAAAACTTCAAGAACTTCAGCATAAGGAAAGGTTTATATTAAAAGTTCCGTGAAATCAGGAAATCTTTAAATTGAAGAAATACAAAGAATTTATGTACAATATTTATATTTTCAAGGTTTATACGTAATTATTTTTTAGATTTAAAAAATTACCCCCTCCTTATGGGGGATGTAATGTTAGAAATGGACGATTAACGGCTGACACATACAGCTTCTTATTTTTATCGTGCGATATACGCGATGGCTTATCCTCACCTATAGATATAAACAGCATTGTAGATATTATAGAATACACTGTGTCGCCCATGATACTATTTACAAACGAACTGAAATATGCTCCTGTACTGCAATTTTACTACCATATCCCACCGTTGTACCACCACACCATCCCACCACAAACTGTAACACAGTCGTGCATGCATAACTGCATCTTTTACATATCAGTACGAAATTATTTTCGTGTGGGACAGAATAACAACATAATGTGTCACCACTCCTTTATATTTACAGGATACTATAAGAGGTAATTAAGGAAATAAAGCACAATACATCAGTACTCATGCATCGTAGTCAGTTCAATTCGTGAGCATTCTTAATGAAGGAGCTAGACTTTTTACTTTATATTAATAAAATTCTTTGTAAAACAGTTTACTCTGTTATGTCCATGGTACTGCTCATATCTATAGGCGACGGTTACCACTTTCCATCAGGTCGACCGTCAGCTTGTTTGCCATTCTAAGTTGTATAAAAAAAAAAGTAAAAATCTCTAAATATCCATGGGGAACAACCTGAAACCGCGAGTATTCGATCAACGTACACATTGCGTACTTACTATAGAATCGACTTTTTTAAGGTCATAGAAATTTGGGCCTAGAAAAAGACCAAATCAGATTTCTTTAGATTTTATTAATTATTTATTTTGATATCAATTCTCTCATAAATTTGTAATATTAAATAACTCAACTACTACTATAGTTTTTTTTTATTTAAATTTTTTTACCAATACATGTGGTATAAAAGGTGGACTTAATGGTATAGGCATTCTCTACCAGTGAACCTTTAAGATTCTATATCTTTAACGCATTCTAAATTTGCTTTGTGCGATGATAAACCTAATGTAAATTTATTATTCTCCAACATTAATATCCAACAACGCTTATAGTTACAACATTAAATAATTTAATAATACCTAATGTATATTCCGACTGGTAGTAAAATAATAACAATATAAATGTATATAAAGCAATTATTTTTAATGACTTGTAAACTGAGTCTGCTCATCGCTTTTTTAAAGTTAATATTCGATATTTCATAAAAGATAACCATCGTCCGTTGTAGATATATTTTTAACTCGTTCGTATACGGTCAGTGGCGAGTTAAATTTAAATATATCGACCACCTATACCCAGAAGTGTATTTAAATATATAGTACCTATGCTAGTGATTTTATTTTTATTCATACATTCTTTTACTTTATTGGTATTTTTGTAGAAAACATAAAATATAACTATTACAAATATTGCTAACGGCTAGCATATTTATTTAGTAAATATCAATGCCACTTTGTAAGTTTCGTATCAATATTTTGATGACGTCATAGACATGATATAAAAACGCTTTGCTGTTCGATTTTCAAAGTATTCCGTTTCTCTTATGATTCCAATAGTATGTAGGGAGTAGGGATGTATATTTACATTATTGCATGGATTATATCTTCAAATGCGTTTAAAAACAGAATTTTCATCATGCTTCCGTTCAAACTGTTTAATAATTACTCCTCTCTATCCAAAGGTTGCATGGAAGAGACCACTTTTAACGATAAGGTCGCCCATTGTTTTCTCATTATGATTATTTCTCGTAATTATTTGTATCTATAATAAGTTTACTATTGTAATCTTGTTGAGGAAACATTTTTTTTTAATAATAAAAAACGTTATATTATGTTTATATGTGATTTATCAGATCTTTGTTGCAACATAAGACCTCCTAAATAGTTTGATGGTGGGAGGAAGGAATCGTTAGTGATGCGAACTATCATTCCCATTGCTAGCTATACACCCTGTCAGGTCGACCTTCGCGTGGTTCCCTTTGGAAATCATCATGCTGAATTCTAGGTTTATTCATCACGATGGGTTAACTGTCATTTTTAGTCTCACCTATGATCCCTCATTGGTGCCCCGCCAGCGTATACCGGTAGCGCGGGCGGAGTTACCATTTCAATATCATCCATTAAAAATAAAAATTGGTTGATGCCAATAACATCTTATTTATTTATTTTAAATAATAAAGTGTAAAATAAATAAATAAGATGTTATTAGATCTGTCTTAATAATAGCAGTGCCATATTATTATGACTATAGACTTTATAACAATCAATGAAAAAATAAATATAGCGACAAAAATCTTTTCAAAGCTGAAAAAAACGATTTTTTTAACAGTCGCTCATATTGTGTCTTTGTTACACCCGCATATCTACGTATCTATTAAATGGGTCCCTTTTTCCTCTTACAAAATCATTGAAGCATATTGAGACCACTAAATAAAGCACCATTTCCATAATAAAAAATACACTTACAGTGATTGCTGGGTCTCTGCCGTCACTTCAAAGACCCTTCGGTGTGTAATCAGAAGAAATAAGCGTTCACGGCTCACTGAATATCCGTTAAGTTATTTGAAAGGTTGTCTTGTATAGACGGATAGAGAATCGGTTTTATATCGTTTTCAAATATAGAATACTTTGTTTATGGAAATGGAAAAAAACATGACATTGTCGATGGTGATGAATAAAATATTTCATTTCCCGCCAAATTCATCTGAAACGTTTATAATGAATAAAAATAATTCACTATATTTTACTACAATAAAAGTTTTTTTTATTCGGATCCAATTGGAATAAGATATTTAATTATTAGAACTGGAAATGAGATATTGATAAGTTACTAATTTAAGAAGAAAATCGATACCAATCGTTTTTTTCCATGAACGCTTAGGTTATGGAATAAATGTCGAGGTTTTTCCAAAAGGCTACAGCATGGGTTCTTAAAAAAGTAGTAAAAAGGTTTCTTCAGGGTTGACAAAGCGCGTGTATTACAAGCGTTCATAAGTTACGGTAACCGCTTACCATCAAGTGAGCCGTATGCTAGTTAGCCATCTCAGCGGGGTAAAAAAAAACTACATGCAATCATAATATCAGCTGTCTGTCCACTGTTAAGGGTCTTTAGCGCATTGTGTCACAGTACCTCGCACTCACACAAAGGCGAGAACTGCCGGATGAAGTCGTAGTAGAAATAGAAGTAATAGAAGAAACAATCGTCATAAACGATAAAAATACAGCGAGTTCATTAATCTCCCATATTTATATAGACATTGAATAAAAATGTACATGAGTTTCAAAAATAATGCTTTACAAAAATTTCGAAGGTCCAAGGTCGAAGATAAAGAATTATCGTGCCTATAGAATACTGGTTACACCTTACAGGAATCTTTTAAGTGAAAAAAGTTTGTGCCGACCCTAAGTATTTTACGAAACAACAAAATTTGTTGAACACGCTACTATTATCATTTTGATCGTTATTGCGAAGCAATAAAGTTCAGTTTTCGTCGTTATTGTAGGTCGCCGTTCGTGTACCTCGCAATAAATCTCACGGGAAATAATAATAACGCAATATAACTCGCGGGAGTTTGATGGCTACTAGGTACTATAAGAATAATGCGAGATAAAATTTATGATACGACGCTGTTGCTTCAGCGAAAAGCGGTTGTTTTATTGTCATGTGCTTGATCCTCGAACCGCCTGCTTGAAGTCCCAAATTCAGCGCTTTTTTTATCCAGTCGGCTAATATGCTGTACTCACTAGAGAAAGATGGATAATGTTTTCTCAATGTATTTTTTTATTTCGGATTTTAAGCGACTTTCAAAACAAACAGGTTCTCAACTCGTTTGAATCAATTTTTTTTTTAAATAGGGTTTACTGACATGTTGGTCCCACGTCAATACTATCACTATTGAAATTTTTACAAATATATAATCTGGCATCTAATTTTTCAAAAATAAATTAATTGTAAGCATGTATGAAACGAGTTATGACAAAAGATAATACGAGAAATGTAGTCTATCTAGTACTAGGTTCTCTCTGTTTACCTCAAAAGAAATTTGCGTGATGGTTGGTAATGGGTGTAGATAAATCACATTTATATTTGATAAACAGGCAGTAATGGCAACTCATGTCGACGTTCCCTCGAGTGCTGTTCATGTAAACTTTTATACCTTCTTACCAACGCATTGTATCTTTGGAATCTTATATTTTTTATTCTATTCTATCGCTTTTAAAGGATTATAAGCGTATTGTTCTACGATTTAGTTCTACTAGTGGAACAAAACAAACTAAAATTAGAATAGATACAATAATTAATTTACTTTTAATTAATTTTAATTAAGTACCTTTAGAAGTATTCTACTAGTTAAATTTTTTTTTTCCAAAAAAAACCTGGGTTTATAATAATCGACAAAAAATTTTCACCCAGCACTTAATTTATGTCTGGTCCCGGCATAGAATGGGCCACCTCTTCCTTTTCTGTGAGTATCGTAAAAGACGTGAGTAATGTAAATTGGACTCTATTTTCCGCACTTAGCCTCTCATTTGGGCCATTGTGCGTATATACTGATCCAATAATGAATATTAACATATTCATCATTAAGCTAGTATATAGGTATTGTAACAAAAGTAATAAAGACACTGTTATATATTACTCACCCCTAAGTGTTATGTTCATGGTACTAGTCGACAAATGGCTATGACTACCCTATCAGGATCATTATATCAGCCTTTAACTGTCCACTGCCTGTGGACAAGGCGAAAGGCGAAAGTTATGCGTACCTTCGATAGCTGCAACTCACGAGTACAGCGCTGGTGTGCCTAAGTGGATAACCTAACCACCGCAGTACAGCTCCTCGTCTTCTATGCTGTTTTTGGTTCTATGGTGGCTTCGATGAGCAGAACAGCACGGAATAGTTTTTACTTAATTTGTCCAACATAAAACTGTATACTATATTTTTTACTGCGATGCGCGCGCGCGACGGGTTCGCTCGGCAAGCGGTATAATTGCACTCTGCTCGGCGTTTTTGGTGCATCACTGGCCCACAGAGCATAATGAAATAGATGAACCCAGGTACAATCGAAGCAGCGTAACCAGCCTGAATATAAGTCTTCCCGTTGGGGGGTTTTTAAAGTAGTTGTCATGGTTGGCAGGCGAATTGGCAACCGCAGTCAGGCTTTAGAGATGCTTTAAGAAGTACGTTGCTGCCTATCACTCGCCCTCCCTTAGTCGCCTCTTGCGACACCCACGGGATAGAAAAGGGTGGCCTATTATATACCGGGACTACACAGAAACCCTATTAGGATAATACCTAAATATTTTTTATAACTTATTAACATTTGCTAAATTGAATTCCTCTTGTCTTGGCTCTATTAAAGTTTCACAAAATTTAAGATCTAAGACCCAATACCACTATTCCCCAAAGAAATCTTTGAATGCTGCAATCTTATGATATACTAATTGAAATATTCTAGTCCGCTTGTCGGTTAGTTGAGCCAAGTTGTACGAACATACTTCGCTGCAACTATTCCAACAAAGGAATAGTTTTGGTCAAGTCTGCCGAGTTTGATCATTTTAGAAATTTGCGGTTTGTCTATTATTAGAATTAGTTTAATTCTAAATGTTTTTTTAATGCTAAAGTATAGAATTATTCGTGTGAGAGTGGTCCACTGTGGTATCAAAAATTTTTAGGTCACCTCCATTATACTGAAAGGCTGACGTGATCACAATTAGGAATCAAGTTTCTTTTAATTCTTTCTGTTTACTTCTTTATATTTTCAATAAGTTTTACAGAGCTTTCAATTATGTATTATATAATTACAATGTTTTATTAGCAAGCTGTTTATCAACAATGGGTCTAGTGCAATAAAAATAAAGAATAAATAAAAAGAAAACAAATGGTCTTAAATTTTACGTATTGCAAAACATAAAACCGTACAAAATTATGAACTGTAGGTAGATCATAATTGTTTGGACTAGTTTAATGATGATAATCCGATACCGGTTGCATCGCACAGCTTGAAGGTCGTTTTACCACACAAGAGAGTGCTGTCGCATCGCACCTGAGTGCAACTATATTCAATTAAAAAAAAAAAAGTAATATGGCGTTGGCGCGAAAAGTGATGATGGGTTGTTAGCAGCATACGCTCTGTTTTGTGTATTTATTTTATAACAAATGACATATAAGTGAAGTTCATAGTTTGCTACGACGTGGTTTTGTGTGCAACTTGTTATATTTTATAATAAGACTAAGTTTCTATTAATAGAAAAACTGATATGTGTGTCATGGACATGTGAAGTACCCGACATCACGCCACCCTATTCAAATACAACATTTGTGCGTGCTCCGGAGCCCGTGAGGATCCTTAGCTGCGCCGTGGAGAAAGATAGCAACCCCAGGAGGCAGGTGAATCAGCACATTAAAGAGGTACGATTAATTTAAGTTGTTGCGAACGGCATACCGGTCTAGGAAAGTCATTGTTAACCGCCCTCTCTGCCGACTCTTTAACTTTTAGTTTTTTGCCCATACAATAATAATGAGAAGCCGACAGACATTATCCTGTTCGTGAATAAATTTTAACTATGTATTCATATAAATAAAGAAGGAAACTAAAGCTAAACAATTTGGTTAGCGTAATCTTTTTTTTTTACAACACAGGGGCAAACGAGCATGCGACGAAACGAGCTTCTTCGTGATAAAAAATCTGTACAAATTATCAATACGTGATTGCAAATTTTACGAATGAATTTCAATTAAATTTCACATACGTTATTTCTATCAGATTTTGTGTGAGCAAAATCGTAGGTTTTAATTATAGTAGAATTAGTGTAATAAAATATAATTTTATTATTTCAACGAGTATTTTATATAGATTAATACCAATCAAATCACTCAAGTTAACCAATCCAAGATTTCCCATTAGAATAAAAGTCGAAAGGGTATTGGCAAAGTTACGTAAGGTGAAAAATAAAGGGCAAGGAAAGATTATTCAAGTATGTAAGTCACGAACTGGGAGGTTAAGGAGAGAATTAATTAAAAGTATCTTACCTCTTGTCGAGTTCGACAGCCCCGTATTCTCTTAAGTATGCCGAGGAAAGTAAGGCCACTGAAACAATTAAGAAATACTTGTTAATGGAATTAAATAAGGAAGTAAGGTTTTTAGAGTGCTATGCGTTATAATTAATCTATAAAAGCATCTCAATAAAAGTATTTATTTTATTTATTTAGACTTTATTTACACCAGAGGGAGTATACACTATTCGTGTTTCTACCATGAAGCAGTTGTGTTTGCATGGCTGTGTTTCGGTTTGAAGGGTGGGATATGGCAGTGAATTTACCGGGTACAGAGGAATAACACCTGAGTCCTCAGGAATAGCAACGCACGGGTCATGGTCATGTCTATAGTCATATGTCGACGGTTACTACTTTCCATCAGGTTGGCCGTCAGCTTGTTTGCCATTTTAAGTTGCATAATAAAGTTAGTTTATTTACATTATTTTTACAGGTAAATGAATAATTCTAATACAATAATTTAACTATATTAATTATTATATGTTAATAGTATGTCAATATAAATATAATGTACATACATACATACATATCCATATTTATATATTCACTATTGTAGCTAATTATATAAAGAGTTATCTTCGTAAATTAATTCAGAGAACAATTAAATAGGTCAAATGTATCTGCTAGTACATTTTAAACAATAATAAACGACGGTTTAATGCATCTTTCTGCCCTCATACCAATTATTTATTTGAAATCGGTGTAACATGTTTTCCTCTTAAATTCATCTCTATTTACATCAATTTCCATATGTGTTTTCCTCTACCATTTATCTTCACTCACTCCCATTCTGGTCATATCATTTTGCACAGTGTCTATTTATGTCTTTTGAAGTCTTTTTTATAGCCAACTAACTTCCTTTATATTCTTTATAGCCAACTAGCTTTTACTCACGACTTCGTTCGCGTATCCGATATATATTCACTGATCGGTATAAAATCTAGCCTAATCCTTCTTCTTTCCCTATGGTATACGTATACCAAATTTCATGGTATAAGGTAACAAAAATATAAACAAACTCACTTTCACATTTATAATATTAGTAAAAATTGCAAAAATTGTGTAAAATAATCGTAAAAAAATTGAAAAAAATTAAAAACCGCGTCTATTTAAAAGATGTTTCATAATGCACCGAGGTAAAAGAAATACTTGTAAATTTGATTTATTAAGGAAATTAAATGGTGGATAAAGATAAGGTCAGGTCAGCTGGATCATCGGGGATTAACAAAGGATTCTTCCCAATGGAACGTTTGGAGGTCACTCTTAGATTGCTAATTATGAGGTCAATAGTCGACGTAACTTATTCCCTTCCCTTAATCAAAAATCAGAATTATAAACAAATAAAAGTTGAAATTAAAAATCCTCACGATTAGAAAACAAAGGTAACTACTTAGGAAAAGGGGCGAACAATAACCAAATCTCATTACAAAGTTCCCGGTATGCAGACGAGTTTAATTATCATCCCGGCCAAGTTATAAAACAAATATAAAACTTGAGCGTCTATATATGACATGCGCTGTAACTTATTGTAATTGCTCAAGTTTTAACGACGACTCTCGCTGAGGCGAAGTGAAGTTTTCCTCTCCGACGTATTATATTATCTTAACAGTTCAAGAATACATTCCCAAAACTCGTCTACGAAAGATAACCCACCTATCTTTTTACCTGACTGTTGAATTTAGAAGGGCAATGTTTTTCTGGTGCATATTTATTTATTTATTCGTTATTGTATAATAAAAATTAGTACAAATAGCAAGTTTACTCGTAATGTATATATTATAGACGGGTGATCCATATTATATTAATAATATTAATAATAATAATAAACTCTTTATTGCGCACAGTAGAGATGTATACAAGGAGTATTTATACAGAATGTGCATATACAAAAGGCGACCTTATCGCTAAAAGCAATCTCTTACAGACAACCTGGCATAAAGAATGGATAAGATTGTTATACAATATCTATTTTTGTAACGAAAATTATCAGAAAGCCTTCATTAACCGCTTGGTCTATTTCATTCATTCATTTATTCATTTATTATGTAGTGTTCGGAGAAACATCAGGCGATTAAGAGTTGAACCATCTCAACAACACACTAGCTCACTGTGTAAAAATGGATCACCCGTCTATAACATATACATTACGAGTAAGCTTGCTATTTCTACAGATTTTTATATTCCAATTGATGAACCTCGATACAATAACCTTAATGATTTCAATGATTTTAAGTACAGACTCCGTTCGTGATTGAGGCATGCGAACACATATTGGATGGCAAATGAAGAAATGAAATTATTCAATTCATTGAATTGATTTAATATTTGTAAATACACTGATTGAACAAATATAAAAATATAATAATGTAACCGAATTTTAATATCTATATATAATAAAAAAACAAATAAATAATAATCCTCTTTAATATGAAGTAAATAAGCCTATATACAATATTTATGCACGACAACTTTTTATGTTATTTTAGTTAAAATAAATAAATAATTCATTTTCTTCTGAATAATTAATGCATGCTGTGGTAACCAGTAATTAAAACAACGTATATATAACCTATATACCTGAACTATTTGTATGAGGTAAAAATTGTAATCATAGTGGACGTGGATGTAATCGCCCTTGCTCGCTTAAGTGAGAGGTTGGGGAACATATCAACATATCAATAATAAGTATATAGTATATATTTTTACTGGATCATAGACTATAATGCGCCTAATAGCTCTAGTATTGCAGACGTTCATAGCCTACTGTAACCACTTACCATCAGGTGGGCCGAATACTTGTTTGCCATCTAAGGGAGACTTTGTACACAAGTCGATTGCTTGGGCACCTCTGTCCCATTCGTGTTTCTACCATGAAGCAGTTGTGTTTGTATGGCTGTGTTTCGGTTTGAAGGGTGGGATATGGCAGTGAATTTACCGGTTACAGAGGAATAACACCTGAGTTCTCAGGAATGGCAACGCATGGAGAGTATCATGAGCGAAACAGTATACTCTGTTATGTCCATGGTACTGTTCATGTCTATAGGCGACAGTTACCACTTTCCATCAGGTGGGCCGTTAGCTTGTTTGCCATTCTAAGTTGTATAAAAAAAAGAAATATAAAAAAAATATAAGAAACTGAGATCCTACCTATTTGAAATAAATCTATGATTAATTGAACTACATAAAAAAAAAGAGATTAAGATGTATCGAAGCATATAATATTGCGTAAACAGACTCAGAAGTTCAGAAGTAATTATTCATCAGTGGTGACTACTACGCAGTACATAGAGAAATGACCTACAACGTGGATAACACAAAAAGTTGATAGATAGAGGGGACTTAAGATTGTTTTTTGTTACAGACTACTGTGAAGCCTTATATTCCGGTAACGAAATTGTTCTATTTATATTATTAGACTTATACTCTTGCTCTCTACAAATTTATTTTGTAAAAGTACCCTCTCGCAAAAAGAATTTGTTAAAGACTTCTTTTTTTTTCTTTTCCCTCCTTTTTCCGTTATGTGAGGACGGCTTTCGTAATCATACGTATATGTAGCACTATTGATTGTATTTTTTAATGGATGATAATGGAACGGTTACTCCTCTTGGGCTAACGGTATACGCTGACGGGGCACCAGTGACAGATGACAGGTGAGACGAAAAGGCAAGTCAGATAGCCCATCGTGATGAATACATCAGAAATTTAGCACGATGGTTTCCAGGGGAACTACGTAAAGGTTACTTGACAGGGTATATTGCTAGTACTGGTAGTCGCATTACTAACAATCCCTTCCCCCCTATCATTATTAGTAAGGCCGAGCTTCTTCATATTCTTCTGGATATTTCGCATGCAGGTAGTTTGCAGCCTACCTCGCACTCTCTTTTTTAAGAAGAAGCGAAGAGTGTGGTAATATTAAAATGTGTTTATTTACCTGTAATTTTTACTAAGTACCGAGCTAACATTTATTAATATTACTATTAATTTAATAATACATCACTATTTTATATAATTTGTATTATTATATAATAAAATATACAATGAGTCTACGCAACGGCTGAATATAAATGTCATTATGTATTCTAATTAAACTGAGTAATTCATTCAGTCTATTCCCCACTCTGATCAACGAAACTACCTCCGGGAAATCATATTTGGCATTTATATTGTCAGATTATTTCGAGATCGAAACATCGGAAGTTGATTCAAGCTTGTTCACGCGTAAATGAAATCCTAATTTAGTTCTGCCTATCTGCAATTACAGATTGACATATGTCCCAATAGGATATTATAAACGTGAAAATTTGTAAGGATGTTACGTAATATTTATTATTCTTTCGTACAAAATTTTACTTTCTTTTTATACAACTTAGAATAGCAAACAAGCTGACGACTCACCTTGTGACGGTTCGCCTATAGTACAATAGGTTTAATACCATAAGTACATAGAAAAGAAACAGAGGTTCCTATGGGTGACCGCTGCGAAAGCTGAGCTATTTAATATAAACAAACTTTAAGGTCAAGGTTCACAATAGCGTACAGAGAAGACGTTACCATATATAAAATATTGACACAGAAGGGAAACTCCTTTGATGTGTTTCCAAAGTGTAGTGGATGTCACAAGAAAATTAAATAAATTAAACAAAAATATATTATATTTTATATATAACCAAATTATAGTTTACCTTTTTATCATCAGGTGTAAAAAAGATACATACAACACAGTTTAATAAGGTTTATGAGAGCCTTTAAAGTTTTATAAATTCGATAATCAATTTAATATAAAATACCAAAATACGTTAACATATAATTAAATTGAATTTAAAGAAAAGTTCAGTTCGAATAATAGGCTAAATCTGATTATTGAAATATCTACCCTTCGGTGACATAATCTATGACGTTATTAGAGAAAGAATAGAAAAAAAAGAAAAAAAAAGGGACGGCAGATCGGCGGGCGCGCGGGAGTCGCTTTTTAGGAATTGCGCAATAAAGGAAAAGAAAAGAAAAAAAAAGATGGCGCAGGAGTCGGTTTTTTAG